GACGAATGGATCAGAAGAAAGCTACGGAACAAATCCAGATCGTTAAGCCTTAAAAGCAGAAAACTTTAAGAGATTGAGGCCAATGTTAAAGTCACCTTAGAATGTCAACAAGCTGCAAGTTTTGCACAGAAAGAGCAAGCTGGGATTTTGGTGTCTTTTGTTTTTCTGAATGGAGGTTTTAACAGAATGATACTCAAAGTTCAACTTCCCTCTACCCTCACAAACAAGGAATATATTATTGAGGTGTCAAATCGAAACAAACTTGGGATGCAGAGAATCACGAGGGAGGTGGAGGGAGTTGCAAGAAATTGCGAAAAGAAATTTCATATTTGTAGGCGAAAGGAGAAAGAGAGGCGGCTTCTCTGGTCGCGTTCAATTCACGAACTAGGTAGACCGGACTCCGTTTTCTTGTGCGGTGCTCATGAAGCTTCTTCCTTTTGTCCTCTTTATTAATTTAGGAAACTAATTTATTTATTTATGTGACACGAAATTTGAGGTTTTTGGTGGTTTCTTGCGTGAGTTTCCAAACAAAACACGAATTTAAGGCGGGGGAGAAGAGGCGCTTCAATTGGAATTTATGAACGGAACGTACTGTGGACCAGGATCCCCTCGAATGGAGGCCCCCAAAAAAAAAAAAACACAAAGAAAAGAAAAACTTGATTGGCTGGAACATAAATTGTAGCAATAAATTTTATAATTAATACCAGTATCAACGTCAGAATTTAAAATGTGATTAACTGATATTGACGTCATATCAATTTCAAAAAGGCCTATAATTAGAAAATATGATTAGAAATAAAATATTATTCTTTATAATTCAAATGTAATACTAGTTCAGGTTCTTTTTTATCGTTCTCTTAATTAATAAAAAAATTAAAAAGAATAACCATTTTTAACTAAAATTCTTCATAAGCTAGAGGTGTTTTTTACTTAAAAAAAACCCGTAATCAGGATCTAGAGAGCAGGATGCAATATTTAAAAGGTAGAGTCAAACATACCCCAGAAAGTTAATTTTTTATTTATTAGATTACGTATGTGTAACATTGGCTCCCACTCGTCAACACTAGAAAAGCAATTTATTTAACTCATAATATTCCCACTTTATGAGATATTGTCAAATATACCACTGATTATATATATGATCATGGGACAGGAAAATAAAAGAAAGAAAGAAAAAAAGGAGGGAAAGTGATAAAGTTGGAATCGGCAACATGCCCAATTAAGGTGGCCCTTCCAATTTGAATATTTGCGACGAGATTGGTCATTGGAGGATGGGGCCCTTTGGTTGGGCCAGGTCTTATCATTTGGACTTTCTGTCTTGTCTAGAAACACCCCCCCCCCCCACTTTGAAGCATTCAAATTTGGATTGAAGCCGGCAATTTCCCATCAGGGCAGGCTCGTTTCTCTAGTACTGGCAATGCCTCACTGACTCCAAATTCTTAGTCAATCCAGTGCCCCACCAGCAAAGCAGACCATCCAACCAATTTCTATTACCTATTATTCTCCCTCATAACTTCCCTTTTAGGCCCTCACGGACTTCCGCTCTCACTCTCCTCTTGCCCAACGGAAAAAATAAAAATTAAAACTTTCCTTTGCTCTTTCCCCTGAAATAATTTTACAATTTTATAGACTTGATCTGGCAAATGTATTCATTTTAAAATATCTTATGTTTGATATACTCAAACTAATCTTAATTCATGTAGTTATATGAACATTAAATAGAAAAAAAAATGAATGTGTTTAAAAATGCTCGAATAATTTAACTAAAGAAGGTGGCATGCATAATATAAATATCTCCAATTTTGCTTCTGATTTTTTGGTGTAATTTTACTCCTCAAAGTCAGATTTCATAATTTAAAAAAAATAGGGTCAAAACTATACCACTAAAAAAACGAAGAACAAAATTATATCTAAAAAAAATAAGATTAGAGTTAAAATTAGATTAGGGGTGGGCAAAAAAAAGTGGAGTCAGCGTGGGCAGGAATAAAATCAATATCCGGTACGGTCAAAAACCCATCTGATTCCTTCACTTGATAAAATGATGGTGACCAAATATAGTTGTTTTATAATGTAAATGCAAACATCTTATCGAAGACAGGGGCTTTTATGTCTTTTTGTCATTTGGGTAAGTGATGGCGCCAAAATTTGGTCGGGAAAAAAGTCTTAAGGATGTTGCTGAGCGCGTCAAAGACGCCTTTAATTAATTAATTAATTTAATAGTACCGTGGATTTGGCTAATGAATCATCGTATCATATGCCCACTTTATCCTCTCCCCACTCCACTCCCCCCCCCCCCACCACGACCCTGTCCTTCCTTCGATTCAAAAAAGATGCCAACTTTTTCATTCGTAAAATTTAAACATCAGATTTCCTCCGGGCAGTATCAAAATCCGGATATATCTGATTCATGGTTGCTTTTTCTAAAGAAAAAAGAAAAGAAAAGAAATGATTTTCCTTTTTCCCTGTGAATTTGACCAGGTAGTGAAAGGTTAGGCACTTTCAGGCACAGTTTCTGAGTCACGAAGAAGAAGGGGGCTGGCTCATTGGCTTAGATATGGTCCAGAAAGAAAGGTGACAATTGAAAACGTTAGATGACAACGACGTAAGGAGAAGAAGGTGACAAAATAAAGTTCGCCGTTTCCAGGTTGCTTCTTCAGCTGAGGTTAACCACTTCAACTTGGTCACCGTGCTCTTTCAGAATAGCACGTGGCTGCCCATGCCCACCAAAGACCTCTCCTCTTGTCTTTTGCTCACACCCAACCACGTCACTGCTCCTCACCCAACTGCCACTCCGCTCCCCTTGGAAACTTCATCCCTCTAACCATTATAATTTCAATATCAAATTATCGGTTCTGATGTAAAATATCAAAAAGGTACTCAATATCCATCATATAATCGCAAACTACTTCCGATACGCTTTCTTTTAATTTTCCTGCATATGTATGGAACTCACTCCGCATGGAACTTTAAATCGTATGGGCATTCCCGGTCGATCTCCACCAATTGGGTCCACACGATAGTTTATCATCTTATACAATTCATCACTGGGCTTTGAGAGGAGTTGGCAAGCATTAAAGCCCATACAACACATGGGCTCAGGAAAGCCCACAAGAGACGGCGTAGCCCAATCTGAGAAAAGTGGATATGAATGTTTTTAAAAAGATGAAGACGAGAGAGAGTTTCGTCCCATACCCGATGACATGAAGGATTCAAGTATCAACAACATGAGGCGCCCATTGGCCGAAAAAGGTCAGACGTGAGTGTTTTATGATAAGCGAAGAGCCATCTGGTCAAAAGGAGTTAAAAAAAAGAAAGAAAGAAAGAAAGAAAGAAAGAAAGAAAGAAGGAGAGATAAGTGACGAACATCGTGGGGACGGCAATCTCACACGTGGCGTAATATGAAGGGGAGTGATGTCAGCAGTTGCGTGGAAAAAGTACGTAACTCAATCAAATGGGCCCCACTCGGATGTATGTGCCACGTGTATAAGGATCCGCTTAGATTTATTTGCGGGATAACGACACGTGGGTTCCTGACTATACACCAGATGATCTTCCTGGGCTCCTGCCAGTTGTTCTCAGTTCTCACCCAACACTAATAAATATGATAAGACCCCGTCATGGAAATCATAGAAGCCTGGATTTTGCTGTCCATGCGTGACGTTTGCATTTTGTTAATTCTTTTTAATAAAAGAAATCACTTTTATGAAATATTTAGTGTATATTACATTACTTAACGACAGACACAAAATAGACAAATAAAAATTGACCCAAAATTTAATTGAAATGAGATCCTGCTGAATTTTATATATTGGGTAAGAAAATTCGTTGTCGGACGTAATGGTCCGCAACATGAGGGATGGAGTGGCCGATTCATACGGCCCATAACGTCAGAAAGGAAGAAAAACTTGGGTACGAGTGTGCGGCAAGACTACGAGAGTGCCTTCAAATGTCACAAGCAAAGGACTCTGAAAAATTTGAACATTTCTCATTATATATGAAAAGAAAAGATCGATTTCCATTGGTGGGGGTGCTTGTTTTTGAGTTGACACGTACACATCCATTCGTATTCCTATAGTCATAATTAAACTAAACAAGCTGTTGACGCTGAAGGTTTAAGCAAGCCATTGGAATTTCGGCGGTGAGGAACGCAGGGCATGTGTGCTTCCACTTACCCCTTAAAACGTTCAGCTGCAGTTTTCAAACTGCAGTTTTCGGCCAATATCATGTACAACAGCTTCCTTTGATCAAACATAAGACTGCACATCATAAATTTTAAAATGAAGAAGGATGATGCCTTATTCCCAAGTAAGAGGGGACCTAACGAAATTGGTGACTAGCTAATCAACTGGTTAGCTTAAGAGGTATACTTTTTAAATTCTTCTTAGGAGACCCAGCCACCAAAAAGTATAAACTTCGTGATATTTGCACAGTTAGTTAAGTAATCAAATATGAAAAAATTTAATAATTCAATGAGGGGAAATGAGTGGGCGGAAAAGTTAGGAGTGGCAAAGGCAAGAATCCTTTCAAAAATGTATCTTAAATGTTTTATTAAATTTTGTAATCAGCCTTATATAAGGACAGAAGAATAGGATTGGAGGGAGTATTGGTTTAAGAGGGGGAAAATGTAAATGTCTTAAGGTGCAAGCAAAATCTGGCCATAATAGCGCGAGAACAGCATAAGACCATTAGATGCTTAAACCTAATTACGTATGAAAAGATCCTTGATTTATGCAAAAACAGACAAGTGTCCGCATCCATGAGCTCAGGAAACAAAACCTGTATGAGCCTGGAATGGATACATCCTTTCTAATGAGCCTGAAACAAAAGTCCAACTAATATTTAATTAAATCGCTTTCCCTGGTGGAACGTATGAAACTGACATCCCTGCATATAGACAACAATATCATCCGAAATTTAACCGCGTACACGCGTATCTGCTTTTGCATTTGTGGGTGTATAAAATTCATGCAGATTTATTATTTTACATGACAGTTACTTTTAAATAAGCCCCAGAGGATTCTATCTTCTTGCTTTGCATATCCCTCAGAGAAAGCTGGAAAACTCAGTCACTTGGGCTGCCACTATACTGTCCACTCCTCTTTACTTTTAATCACTTTGTTCCACCATGTCGAATCATCAAAGGGCTTCCACTAGCCATAGAAGAGAGGATGATGGAGAAGATGAAGAAGAAATAAGAGAAATCCACGCCTTGTCGCCGCCGCCGGCTCCCCCACCTGCAAACCGTGGCCGTCGACTAGATGGTTGGGAAACACATAGCCGGCGGTCGTCGTCTCTTTCCGTGGCCAGCACTGAAGCTGCTTCCGTCGAGAACTTCACCAGCATGAGCAGAGAATTCAGTGCTCTGGTTATAGCGGGATCGAGCATTAACGGTCGTAATTTTAGCACTCATTTGAACGGCCATGAAAACGAAGGAGGCAACAACCTGGGGAGAATCAGAGAAGAGGACACGACGGAGGAGACGAACCATTTGGCGATCGTACCCGATCATAACCCGTTAGGAATGGGAGGCGGGTCAGCTTCAAATGGTGAGCGTGAAGTACTGTCGGTGCAGAGAGTGAAGAAGGAGGAGGTGGAGGCCAAGATATCCGCGTGGCAGAACGCTAAGATCGCCAAGATCAATAATAGGTTCAAGAGAGAAGACGCTGTCATCTCTGGTTGGGAGAGTGACCAGGTTCAGAAAGCTACTTCTTGGATGAAGAAATTCGAGGTATATACGCATGTTCCTTTGTATAATGTGGTAATGTGTCAACTTCTTTTATCTCTTGATTCTGAATTTTGCTGAGATATGGTGCTACTTCTTGAGTTCTCGAATACTCGATTGTTCATCACATTCATTAAAATTCACGAAAGCAATAAGAAAAGGTGAATGAGATTGACAAATTAGTGAGTGCCGTGCCGTGTTGTTCGCCGATCATCTGAAAATGTTCTGTGTAAAGCTGAATTGAGACTAACTAATAAGCTTCTCTTTTTCCCCTGTCCCTTTTCGATGCACAGAAGGCGCGTTCATGGCGATTTCAAACCAAAACATCGCTCATGACGTAGAATCGTTATCTATAGTTTCTTTTAGTAGGACTCTTGGTGTTCATTAATTGCCTGTCATGGAAGCTACTCTTCCAATAGTGACGACAGTAGGAGTTGGAAATTAATGCGCTGGCAACTTGCGATGTGTCTAATAAGATGATATTCATAATTATTTGCTCTGATTAAGATTACTTTACACGGTCATGGATTGCACAACAACACGGAAACCAGAACTTTAAATTCTGCAGACAAATAGAATAACAAATTTGCCTGTGAAAAACCCTGGTGATGCAGAGGAGGCTGGAGGAGAAGAAGGCGAGAGCATTGGAAAAGATGCAAAACGACATCGCAAAAGCTCGAAGGAAAGCTGAGGAGAAGAGGGCATCAGCGGAAGGCAAAAGAGGAACTAAAGTGGCAAAGATCCTCGAGATTGCCCATCTCATGAGAGCAGTTGGAAAATTTCCAGCCAAAAGATCCTTCTTTTAATCTTTGCCATATCTTATATTTTGAATTTCATTTTTTTTGGACAAACAATATATTAAAGATGCATATTATTATGTGGATCATGGTTGTCCGGATGTCATGTTTGTGGGTGCCCGCAAAAGAAGGGTGTCTGTCATGTAATTATAAGCCAGTTGGGGTGATTTTGAGTGCTAGCTACAATTTGAAGTGTTTTTGGGTTTTGCTCTGTCGATTGATATATTGATTCCTTTGTTTACTCAATTTGCTTCTTTTGTGTGAAACACGGGGATATATAATTACACGGGCTACCATAAAACTATGCTGTAGGACCCCTGTGAATAGCCCAAGACTGGTGAACATGGCGAGATTAATTCGTCTGCGTCAAAGGAATCCCTCAATTACGTGGAAATCGATGAATCGTAGTTAAACAAAAGGGGGGGGGGAGTTTAGGATTAGACATGTGACGACTTTACTGGTATATGATTGAGCGAGGAGGGTGAAGCTTTTCAATGTTGTTTTCGGTGTTGAACATGTATGAGCAGCGAAATGGCTGGATACAATCAACCACAGAGCTAGGAGCGAAAAGCTAAAAAGGTTAGAAACAAAAGAAATAATTGAAAGTGTATTGTTTTGTAGTGCGCTTTTTATTTGGACGGTGAGAGACACCAGTGGGGAGGGAATTTTCAGCACTGCTAAACTGGAAAAGGATCGGTTGCCGACACCAGTGACATTGTCAGAGAAACAGACGAGGGTTAGATATGATGTCTTGGTCTGGTAAGTTCGTTACCCGCCAAAAAGATAATGTCAATATCATCCAAAGAGAAATCCCTCTACCTAATCTTCCACCATTTTTCACATTGCTTCTTCAAGTAATTTAGCTCACCAATATTCAACTTCATCACGCCCATTTCCAGAAAACAGAAACCTGATGGATGCAGGAGGCAAAAAGTGAATTTGGGCGATGGCCCAACCTGTGGAGGTGGGCTGGACGTGAAAACAGAATCAGGGACACTGCACCCGCGACTTGGGATGATCCAGTTCAAAGTCAAGCTCTGCTTCCATTTTTGGACCAACTATTAGTGTGTTTCTATTCATGTATTTGATCAATTAAAAAACTACCAACGTATTTGCATTAAGGAAAAGAGGATAGTTTCTTATAACATAATGAATTAAGACTTAAATCTACGTTGAAAAATATGTCTACATTTAGTGTCTAATAGTACATTAAACAAAATTACTTCTAATCGATAGATATTTATGCTTGGGAGAAAAAAAAACCTTATGTTGGCTGTTGCTTTTGCATCAAACTAAAAATATTGTCTTTTTGTGAGGGAGGTATAATAAATTCGTAGATTTAAAATTATTAAAAAAATGAGTTATGCTGCGTACTATAGACCAATCAAAAGGAAGCGTAACGGCGCCAAATATAATGTCGCAAACTATGATGAGCTGATGATGGCCAAAAAAAAAAAACTATGATGAGTTGATTTTATAGTTCAACATTAATAACTTGGCACTTGGGTTCTCTTGGGGACCGAAAGCGCCAAGCAAGACTCATTCTCACAGCATCGCACCCTTCGCGCCTCCGTCAGGCTCGGGGGCAAGATTGCAAGAGCCAAGAAGCAACGTCATCGTTTGCGTATTCACTAACGTTCCAGAAGGCCGAAAGCAATCAAAGGCGCGCTTCTAGAAGACCTTACGCGGACAACAATATGTCTCCCATACCTCATAACCTACGGAAACTGCCAATGTGACAGTTGGCAGTTGGGCGGTTGACTATGTTTATGTGGTCCGCCTCCTGAATCTTGATTTACCTTCACGTTCCTCGTTCTCCCATTCTCATTCCCAAGCCAGCAGCGACATGTTAAAAGGGTTCACATTGAGAATTAATAACGGAAATCGCCAGGGAAATTGATATGCTGTGTATAATACGTCTGTTGGGTCTATTGTGACGAAATAATAAACTGCGGGTTTTTTTTAAAAAAGAAATAATAAATTATAAATTTTGAAATATCGTATGATTGGTGGGGATAAATTTTTGAAATATTATTATTGTTTAGCAGAAAAATATTACTCCTCCAGTCCTTAATATAAGATCTAATTATTAAGTTGATTTTAGTCTTAAATATAAGATCTATTTCTCATATTTATCAATTTTTTCTAAATTACCTTTATAAATACTCCCTCAACTATAATTAAGTAGAAGAGGGAAGGATGTTATTAAAAAAGATGATTATAGTGTTTTAGAAAAAAATATGTCAGATTTCTAATAATTAACTAACTTGCCTAACTTTATTAATCTAATCAAATTAGTTAAATAAATCTTATATTAAGGATCAGATGAGTATCGTTGAGTTTAAATGATATTTAATTTTTACCAATGGTCCATTATTAATTTCGCGAAATTAGATGCATATTTTCGTCCTAATAAAAGTTAACAAAATATCCCCCCGGGGAAATATCTTCAAGAAAATGAAAATTTTGATTATGGAATTATGATTTGTTATTTGGACAAATTAGGCGAGTAATTTAGTTAGTTGCCGTTTCTTGCTAAAAGATCGAGGAGTTCCGTGGAGAAAATCTCAGAGGAAGAGTCTATCAGTTCGCAGGAAGGACGATGGAGGAGGTGTCGTCGAAGCAAATTTGACCATCGCCTTCCTCCCTCACGCGCTGAAATTCATCCCTCTCTCCACCTTCTCCTTCCCAAAACCCTCCTTTCGCCTCCTTAAATCATCATTCCGTCCTCTTCTATATATCTTTCTAAGCAATTTCTTCGTCGAACCAATTTTCTTCAATATTTTCATCTAGCCGAGTAGCAAAAGACCAAGTTTCGGTTGAAGAATTCTCTCCTCCGATAATTCTATCTGTCTAAATATTGTCACCGTTTTTAATTCCCCAACAGCTCCTGAATATATCCGGGATTCAATTGGGGTAAAGGAACGCCAGCAATTATATCATAAAACCATAATTTGCTTATCGAGGTCGGATTTGAATGCATTTGGATCTCTATTGGCACATATCCGACCTTGCTCACCTTCTCAGGCTTGATATCTCCTGAGATCCATGGGTAATTGTTGCATTACTCCATTTCGCACTCAGGAGAAGAAAAAGAAGGGGAATAAAAACAAACAGAACCCGTTTGCGATTGATTTCGGTAAAAATTATGGAAATGGTGGAAGCAAAATTAACGTTTTGAAGGACCCAACAGGCCGCGAAATTGAACTCAAATACGAGCTTGGTCGCGAGCTTGGAAGAGGGGAATTCGGAGTCACCTACCTATGCACCGATAAAGAGAGCGGTGAGAATTTCGCTTGTAAATCGATATCGAAGAAAAAGCTGAGAACAGCCATTGATATCGAGGATGTTAGGAGAGAGGTTGAGATCATGAAGCATTTGCCACCGCACCCAAATATTGTGAGCTTAAAGGACACTTACGAGGACGACAATGCTGTCCATCTTGTGATGGAACTGTGCGAGGGAGGAGAATTGTTCGACCGGATAGTTGCGCGTGGACACTACACAGAAAGGGCTGCCGCAGTTGTCATACGGACAATCGTTGAAGTCGTTCAGGTAAGATGTTGAGAATATGAAACTTCAAATCAGAAGTTTGGTTTCTTGGACTTTGCTAAGTGAAGTATTCAATCTGCTACTGGTGTCTGGTATGAAGATTTTACAAATCTAGAAATAGCTCTAAACAAACGTTTCACGATCTTTCTTTTAATGAAATTGAGTACCGCTCGTATTGGCACGTTTGCATGTAATACGTAAAAATAATTTTTTGGTGCATTTTATGGAGTTTAATTAAGGAACAAGCACGGTATTTATGACCTGTGAATAGTTGTTTACTGCAAATTTTATATTTTATATTATAGTACTTTCGGGTCTTAGAGCTAGCTGTAAATTGAATTTAGTTTTAAATATAAAAATTTAATTCACTTTTCCTCCCCAGATTTGTAATTAATTCTCTAAAATATCTTTATTAATTATACACGGGTTTCATCCAAGGATAGTTATGATTAAAATTGATACTTTAGAAAAATCAATTCATATTTGTTACAAATAACTAATCTAATTTATTTTTTTAATCTATTCAAATTAGTTAATTAACTCTTATATTAAGGAGTGGAGGTAGTGTATTTATTATTGTTTTGATGATCTGATTATCTGGATATACAGCCATATTAGTGCAGAGTTCCTTCTGGGCTAGCTTTTGCTTCTCGTGAAATTCCCCTTTTGTCTCATTAGGACATTACGGTGATTATGCATTCATGTGAGATACACACACAAACAAATATGAAATAGCCCACTCGTGTCTTGTTTACGATGCTCAATTATATTTATATCATTAAAGAAAACGAGTTTCGTGTCCTGTGCCTTAATCATCTATGTTTACTTGTTCAACTGCTCATTCGTAGTAACTTACGAGGTTAATGTATCAGGTCACATTTACTCTGTTTTTTTATTTTGTGTGGATCATTAGCTTGTCATTTGCAATGAAGCCTTTGGACTGTTGACGTCTTAGTTATTTTCTTGGGTTTGACGGATTTGAATTTTATGGTGTTGCAGGTGTGTCACAAACATGGCGTGATGCACAGGGATCTCAAGCCTGAGAACTTTTTGTTTGCAAACAAGAAGGAAACATCGCCTCTGAAGGTTATTGATTTTGGATTGTCAGTGTTCTTCAAACCTGGTAATGCCTTAGGCTATCAATTGAATCTCTTTATATTGTTGTTTGACTTTCATCATTAGTGGCTGGCTGGCTGCCATCTGTGATTGAACAGTTAACTGAAGTAAGCCATTTCCTGCAGGTGAAAGATTTAACGAGATAGTTGGAAGCCCCTATTACATGGCACCCGAGGTATTAAAACGAAATTATGGTCCAGAAGTAGATATCTGGAGTGCTGGAGTAATTCTGTACATCCTACTTTGTGGTGTCCCACCATTTTGGGCAGGTTAGTTTTCTTTTGTGACTGATATTTTTTAAGCTTTTGCAAGAGTGAGATCTTAAATGGCTATGAACCCATTTTAAAGTCACTTTGGGCTTGATGAACTAATCTCTTAAAATTAATCCATACTTATAACAGTAGCAAAACTAAAGGAAATCAAATGCGTGTCTTTAAATGACCTTCAATATGATGAAGAGTAGTTAGATTGTGACTGAATTAATACTATTTTCTAACAAATCTATGGCATCTGCTTTGACTGTCAAGAGAAAGACAAAAAGGTGTACATTATTCCTTGGTTACACTTATGTGTAATGACTATGAATGCTGAGATGACTTATTTGTATTACTAGCAACACTAGCAGATTAACTCTTATAAAGTTTGACAACTATCTCACTTTCTTGTCATATATAGACACAGGCACGCACATTCCATTGCCACATAAGAAAGACATCATAGTTTCAGTTTATTTATTTGCATTCATGCTATTTCTTTTCTAAATCATCTCTCTCCAAATGCAGAAACTGAACAGGGAGTTGCACAGGCAATCATACGATCTGTCATTGATTTTAAAAGGGACCCCTGGCCTAAGGTTTCTGATAATGCAAAAGATCTCGTGAAGAGGATGCTTAATCCCAACCCACAGCAGCGTCTTACTGCTCAGGAAGTGTTAGGTATATTAAATTTTGTACAAAAGGCTTCATGGAGATAAATATTAATATCATTAACCTGGATTGCATTGAAATTCTGCCCAGCATCACATTTTTCTTGTTCAAATTTGTGAAATTGAAACGTGCTTGTTCACTGAACGCAGATCATCCATGGTTACAGAATGCCCAAAAAGCTCCTAATGTTTCACTGGGAGAAACTGTAAGGGCAAGGCTCAAGCAATTCTCTGCCATGAACAAGCTTAAGAAAAGAGCTCTAAGGGTAACGCTTTAGAAAAGACATTTGAACATTTCTTAAGGATCATCTGTTATATGTTTTGGTCTATTTGATCATTCTAATTCACCATTGTTTTTCAATTTTTGTTGAAATTTCATGTCAACAGGTGATAGCAGAGTACTTGTCAGTAGAAGAAGTTTCCGGATTAAAAGAGAGATTCCAGCTGATGGATACGAGTAACAGAGGAAAGATTAACAGTGATGAGTTACGAGCAGGGTTGCATAAATTAGGGCATCCTATTCCTGATGAAGACCTCCGCATTCTGATGGAAGCTGTGAGTATACCCTTCTACCTGGAGTCTTTATTTCACAGTATGTTTCGAGTTTTGAGCTTTGAAGCTTTGGAAGCCTTTTGTGTGCGCGCGTCTGTTTTTTTTTTTGGGGGGGGGGGGGGGACCAGAGAAGGTTTGGAAGTCGAAGTCAAAGTCAAAGGTTCTAAAATCGGTTCTTCTGTCACACTTGATTTTGTATTTTGTTCAATTTATTTTCTATGAGGAATGCTGATGCAAACTTATTGCTTAGAATGCTGCATTAATTCATCCCCCAAGCCCTCCTAATAAAGAGCCAGAGGCATTGAAATTAATAATTCTCCTTGTTTACTTTCTGTCTTCCTTACTTATTAAAAAAAAAAAAAAAAACAGAACAGAAACAAAATGTTGACTGCACTATTCCTGCTAAATTATTTTTTGGAAATGTATACAGCTGGACTTCATCTTCTAATCCTCGGAGACTTCCTTTGCAGGGTGACGTAGATAAGGATGGGCACTTGGATTATGGAGAATTTGTTGCCATCTCAGTTCATCTGAAGAGGATGGGCAATGATGAGCACCTTCACAAAGCTTTCCAATTTTTTGACAAGAACAACAGTGGGTATATAGAAATGGAGGAGCTACGTCAGGCCTTAGCCGATGAAGTTGATACAAACAATGAAGTCATCAATGCAATTATGCATGACGTGGACACAGATAAGGTCAGTCTGTTTTCCCTTCTTATACTCTTAAATTATGTTGAGTCAATTTGATAAGTAATTTCTTCCCTTATGCTTTTCCTGTTGAGCATTTGTTTGTGATTTGACAAAATCCAAATTTTAACTGCTTTCTTCTAAAATACTTTGAATTGGTTGTGTGTGGCGAATGCAGGAGGTACTTGACCTTAGAATTTTTTTGCAAACATCCATTGTCATAATCATAAGCACATTTATTAGTAGTTTCCCCAACGGATTTAATTTGTTGTTCAAGCCTGTTGGTATATTCAACACAACATATTCTCTGTATTTTCATTTCGAAAAACCTGGATTTATTACTGATCTATGTTTCATATAGAACTACCCCTTGATCTTGTCTGTGAACTTGTAGGATGGAAAAATAAGCTATGAGGAATTCGATGCAATGATGAAGGCCGGCACAGATTGGAGAAAAGCATCAAGGCAGTATTCACGAGAGAGATTTAGTAGTCTGAGTCTGAAGTTGATGAGGGATGGGTCGTTGAGATGAATTTCTAGCCTCCCATTTCTGTCCTTTCATTTCAGTTCTTTTCTCCTTTGAATTCTCTCATATCCTTACAAGAAAACCCTGTTATTTGAGGTGAAGTGGGATATTGGTAAGAGCATGCGATGTCTGTGAATTGGACTGTGTTTCTTCTGTTTGTTGATGGAGGTGCTGGAGAAACGACCGGTTTTGTGGGAGGATTAATGGCCGAGTCATAATTGGAAGGAAGAGCCATCTGGCATTTTTAGTGAAACCTTGATGATGTTTTAGAGGCAGAAGATAGACGCACTTCCTCATTTACCTGCAATGACGACGGCATCATCTTACTTGAGAATAATCAATTTTCAGTGTTCTTGCTGACGTTTTGACTGTGGCGTGGGGAGGATGACCCAAAGGAGAATTAGAACAAACGTGTGACGGAACAGAAATGTATTAGCAAAAACATGGCTAAAATTTGGTATATATGGTTTGTTCTGTATTTATTTCGAGCACATAGAAGCCACCTTGTGTTCAGTTGTACAACATATTCAATAATTTTCATAAATGAAATTATTTAGTTAAATAAAATTATCTGCATTAGAATCCTCTAGGCAACGGGGAGGAGAATTGGAAGTGATTTTGAATAGAGATAAATATACACGCGCATGTGTATTTAATTACTCCTCCGGTCTTTATTATAAGACCCAATTTGACTTTTTATTTGGTCCTAATTATAAGACCCAATCCATTTTGTCTCTTATATTTATGCATTTTTTTTTCAAGATAATCCTTCTAATAATGATAGTTTTAGCCAATATACTTAATTAGCAAGGATATTTTAGGAATGACAATACTTATTTATTATAAATAACCAACTTAACTTACTTCCTTAATCTCCTCAAATAAGTCAATTGGGTCTTATAATTAGGACCGGAGGAGTATTATTTATTGATTTTTCATGGGGAGAACGTAGGATTTTTTTTTTTTCAAAAAAAATTGTGTGGAGGCAGCTTCCATCACTAAATTTAAAACACTACTCTCAGCTACAAAGAAATAAATCGATAGAAAATCACATTATTTGCTAATTTTAAACCCTAACCATATCCAATACTAACTCCAATCCTTAATATAATTTGTGGTCAATTTGAACTCCAACCTAAATATATTTTTATATTAAGGATGTGGCATTATATATTATAGGACTTTCGGAAACTATGGACCAAGACCGACTTGAGATGGATGATGTTCAGTACTGGCTCTGAAGATACGAGTGATGCAAAGGTGGCGATCATTCATGCATGCACGTACGAGAGAGGGAGTTATTTTACATACGTATTTGCGCGGCGAAGCTTAGGCTGCTGTCGAGAATAGATAACGATTGCAGACATTGTTCTCAATTCAACGGCAATGGCCTCAACTTCTGCACTGTCACATGTCCCCTGTTCTATATTTTCGGCTGTTAGGAAATGAAATTCTTCTTCTCTTTCTTATCTTTCTATAATTTAAGAATCCTTCTAGGGTCAATCTGGAGGTATCCATATCCTCAAACTTGCTCGACTTTTAACACTTTGCATGCTATAAAATCTTCTATTTGGTATTCAAATTCTTCAAGCATATGCAAAGAGGTGCCGTCACATTCCCACCCGCTGTCTTCTTCATCTTTCATACTCCTCACAAGAGACATTCTTCTATTTGAGGGCTCTCTTGGTTGAGCTGTTCATTAATTTCTCCCTTTTAACCGCTCTACCTCTCGCCTTATCTCTGTTTTGAGCTTCTTCACAGTAGGTAGCTCCAAGCACTTCGTTCCCCCGGTGAGCTTCGGTGGCCAATGTATAATTGATTGCTTTTAGTTTTCTTACTTCTGATCGATCTGCCAAGATTAATAATTTTGGTTTCTTAATGAAAGTAACTTTCTTAAAAGTTTCTAGTTGCTTCACTTACTGTTTTGTTACGACGTGATATTGCATGTTTTCGAAAACTATATTCACTGACGTAACAGGATGAGGTTACGTTTGATGTAGGGAGAATAGAGGAAAAGATGGGACATCGATTTTTTCTCCTCTAGCAAAGTTAGAATTTCTGATGCATAATTTTACTCTGCCTTTATCAGTTACTGCCAATGTGGCAGGGCGAGCAAAATATTTTCATCTAAACATATCTTAATGCAAAAGAAATATTACAGTTGAATTTAAATCCAACATCATATAATAATTTAATTCTCCTTACTTCATAAACGGGAACTCTGAATTGAAGCCTTCAACTTCCAAAATTGAAACGGTGTTGTCGGTGACCGAGTGGGCATCTCTTCTTGTCAGAGAAACGAGATGCTTCGTCCATAACTTCCTCAAGTTTTGGAAATGACTTGATGTGGCCGGCCATCTGAGTGTCCCATATCTATATCACGCCCCTGCTTTTCGTTTGTCCTATTATTCTCTCAACGTCCCATATCTATATCATTCTTCTAATATTTGGCGTCGTAATCCAGTGGTGGAGTGCAGAGAGATATGACGGTGACACCTGATATATTCGTTAACGACGGGAACTTGGTGGTCCATGGAAAGACCATTCTGACAGGAGTACCAGAAAATATAGTGCTGACTCCTGAGCCTGGGAATGGGCTTGTTTCTGGTGCATTTGTTGGCGCAACATCTTCTCAAACCAAAAGCCTCCATGTGTTTCCTATGGGTGTCCTTGAGTATGTCTTCTTTCCCCATCTTTATTCTTCATTTTTGGACTCAACTCTGTACCCATTTCTCATCTACCGTGTTCTGTTCTTGTTCTCGAAAACAGGGGACATAAGTTTGTGTGTTGTTTCCGGTTCAAGTTATGGTGGATGACTAACAGAATGGGAACTTGTGGGAAAGACGTGCCTCTGGAGACCCAGTTCATGCTGGTGGAGAGCAGAGATGAGCATTCCAGAACCATTTATACGGTGTTGCTTCCTCTGCTGGAAGGCCAGTTCCGTGCTGTTCTACAAGGCAATCCCAAAAACGAATTGGAGATCTGCCTTGAGAGTGGTGAGTTTCGGCCATCAAAACAGTCTCCTTAACGTGAATTCATTTCATTTGGGCTTGGATGGGCCGGCACGATGGAATTTAATCAGTTGGGCGGAATACCAACTCCAAAAGAACCGAAACGAGATTTTGTGTTTCCCGTGTGATTCGGTTTTGCAGGGGACGACACTGTTGTGACCAATCAAGGGCATCACTTGGTCTACATGCATGCTGGCACCAACCCCTTTGAGGTCATCAACCACTCTGTCAAGTGAGCCATCCTTCTCAACCCCCCCCCCCCCAAAAGCATCTTCTTTCCCCCATATGGGCACATTTTCTTACTCTTTTTTCATACCAGGGCTGTGGAAAAACACATGCAGACTTTCACTCATCTTGAAAAGAAAAAAGTAAGAACCTTTTCCGATTCTCCTCGCTGAAGTGCCGATAGCTTCTTTCCTCCGTGTAGACTCATAGCTAAATATCGACTGGGACCTATTAATATTTCTTGTTGGTTTTATATACGTAGCTGCCATCTTTTCTTGACTGGTTTGGCTGGTGCACTTGGGATGCTTTCTATACCGATGTCACTGCTGAGGGTATTGAGGAAGGCCTCAAAAGGTATTTATAAACAAAATTGACGTGCATGCTGTTTTTTCCCCCCCTTAAATGAACAAAGAGATAGATTTTCAGAGACTGAAACTCGGTTAAAAAAACTCGCAGCCTATCAGAAGGAGGAACACCTCCAAGGTTCCTCATCATAGATGATGGTTGGCAACAAATTGAAAGCAGACCAAATGATGCTGATTCGGTCGTACAAGAAGGAGCTCAGTACGTGACATCACTTTCCCATTATACCTAGTGATTAGTTTGATTGAAGAACTGGCTAGCTCATTGATGTTTTGGCAAATGGGATCGATACTTTCAGGTTCGCTGGCAGATTGATTGGCATAAAAGAGAACACTAAATTTCAAAAACTTCGACCGAACGATGAAGAAAACTCTGGCCTGAAGATTGCTGTAGACGGATCAAAACACCGCTACAATGTGAAGTATGATCTCCGCAGCGTCAAATCTTGAACTGTACCATAATGTTTTGGCATTTCCTCATTAATCAGTTTAGGGGCTTAAATTTTTGTGATGAACAGATACGTATATGTATGGCATGCTCTGGCTGGATACTGGGGTGGAGTGAAGCCAGCGGCAAGTGGCATGGAAAAGTACGAGACAGCCTTGGCGTACCCCGTACCATGTCATGGTGTACTAGGTAACCAACCAGACATCGTCATGGACTGCTTGTCCGTACATGGCTTAGGATTAGTACACCCAAAGAAGGTTCTCTATTTCTACAACGAGCTTCATGCATACTTAGCTTCGTGCGGAGTAGATGGAGTCAAAGTGGATGTACAGAACATCATCGAAACCCTTGGCTCCGGTTATGGAGGCAGAGTGTCCCTCACGCGCAGCTACCTCCAGGCGCTCGAGTCCTCCATTGCTCGTAACTTTCCAGATAATGGATGCATTGCCTGTATGTGTCATAATACTGATGGCATTTATAATGCCAAGCAAACCGCCGTTGTGAGGGCTTCTGATGATTTTTACCCACACGATCCTGCTTCTCACACGGTCCATATCTCATCTGTCGCCTATAACTCTCTTTTCCTCGGAGAGTTTATGCAGCCTGACTGGGATATGTTTCATGTAAGTTCAACTCCATTGCTCTACATGATCATTTGTGTGAAATAAGTAAATAATACTAGGTTTTAGTGTGACAATATCTATTGGCTTGTTCTGTCCCATGTCCGTGTCATTGTGTTGCACCAACTGTTTTTACCTGTTCAGCATCTTCCTGATTCAAGGATCTCTATTCGACTTTAAGGTTTTTAATTTGTGCATGTTTTTTCTTTTCTTGCTTTCACAGAGCTTGCATCCAGCAGCAGAGTATCATGCTGCAGCTCGGGCAATTGGTGGCTGTGCCATTTACGTTAGGTATGAGATCGAAGTCCGTTGCAAATCTTGTCTTGTATATTGCGGGATAAAAGCAGGATGAACCGTGCTTTCACTGCTGTATTAATTTACAGTGATAAGCCAGGACAGCACAATTTCGAACTGCTAAAGAAGCTGGTTCTGCCTGATGGATCAGTTCTGCGATCTCAATTACATGGGAGGCCCACCATTGATTGTCTCTTTGTCGATCCAGCAAGAGATGGGACTAGGTTCTTCAGCTCCTTCCGTCTCTGACATCATTTGATGGATGGTCTAACTAAATTGTAACGTGCAATATATGCAGCTTGCTGAAAATATGGAACATGAACAAATGCAGTGGAGTGGTGGGTGTGTTCAATTGCCAAGGTGCTGGTTGGTGCAAGATTGAAAAGAAGACCCGCGTCCACGATGCATCTCCTGCTACTCTTTCTGGCTCTGTTTCTGCCTCTGATGTTGACCTCATCGCTCAAGTCGCTGGCTATGATTGGGATGGCCAAGCTATTGTTTATGCCTTCAGATCAGGTACTTAGTTGCCCTTCATTACACAACTCCTTTTAGACTCTCACTTTTCCTTGCATGCTTCATAAGAAGAATATTGCAGGGGAAGTAGTTAAGGTACCAAAAGGGGCTTCAGTTCCAGTGACACTTAAAGTTCTGGAGTATGAACTTTTCCATTTCTGCCCAATCAAAGTAAGCTTTTCTTTTCCTGACGTGATATCCGTATAGCAAGCAATGTCATTATGTGAATGTGGGTGATGTTCGGTGGACAGGAAATTGCACCAGGTGTTTCATTTGCTGCACTAGGGCTGATGGATATGCTTAACAGTGGAGGAGCAGTGGAGCAGGTTGAGATCCATAAAAGACAATTAGGAAAATCAGAAGCAGCAAGCATAGAGCTGAGAGTGAAGGGGAGTGGGAGATTTGGTGTGTATTTGTCGCAGAGGCCATGCAAGTGTGTGGTAGGTGACACTGATACAGAATTCAACTACGAGGAAGAAAGTGGGTTGATGACCTTCATCGTCCCAGTTGCTGCACAGGAAATGTACAGATGGCTTATTCTCATCCAAGTTTGAGTCTTGTATCTGGGGAAATTGTTGTTGCATTGGGATAGTGGCATGCAATAGCAATAGCCTAATCAGCACCATCTTGCTGGTTTTTCTTTTTCGAATAAAAGCCAGGTCACTCGTACTCTGGTTTCATAAAGTTCAGCGAAGTCTAATGATACGTTGAGATAAGACATACCCAATAAAAACAAGGAATTATACAACATGGATCGATTTTAAGATTGGATAGTAGCATGAACAGCGACAAGCCCCGCAAGAGTTTGTAGGCCTTTCCCCGCAACAAACAAAAATGCAAAATGAACAACATTAGCGGATAAGGTGGCAGGCAGCACTAGTATTTTTAATTATGGGACATAAACAGATATATAGATATATATATATATATATGTTATTTATAATTATTTATAGGACAATATAATCTACTTGCAAAACTTTTGATGTCCATTTCCTTAATGTCTTTCAACCGATGAGACTTCTTTCTCACGCTAAAACCAAATAATCTTGCAGAAGTAACTGTACATATGTACAGTAGTTTTCAAGTCATGGAGTAAATTGCCACATAATGCTTACCGGATAATGAAGCCACCATACATATCTAATACGAAATGAACATTTCTTAACGTAGCAAAATTGCCAAATAAGGGGGCATGCTGTTATATATAATATATATTTGATTGATTATCAATATCGTCATGATTGATCTTGATGAGCTCAAACAATCCAAGTCTATGACCTTTGCTCACGATGATCGTTCATTTAGATATTATATACCCTCATTTGCCTAACAGCATCGGTAAGTTATCGCCACGTAACCACCATTTGAAAACAAACGTTCCCTAATTATTTCGTACTTGGTTTTTTATATCAAGACATCAACTCTTCCATGATGAAAATGCACGTGAATACAAAGACATCGGGAAAGAAATGCAAGGAGATGCCACCTTGTGATGAAGGATTCACGAATCTTAAGGCCACGTAAAGTTGCGATATTCAAAGGGAAAATGGAATTTCTTCTACTTCTCATCCTTTTTCAGCCGAACCCAATGATTTAACCCGATGAAAGTTTGAAAGGAAATTGAGGAATGGAACTGGAAACCTAATTCACAAGTTTTGCGGATTTAGCCACTCTCAACAATGAGATCGATGTTCTATTTCTATTATTGCATCATATTCTAGTTGATCAAAATCACAAAATTCTTGTCCGCCTTGATATTTCAACAGTGTACGTTACAAATTGTTTGATGGAGGGGGAAAACAGCTTTTATGATGTCTTTGTATTTTTTTTCCCAAAGAAATAAAGGAGTCGCTTAAAGTACTTATAAATTATCTACTAATGATATTCTCATACTAATATGTAGTGTGATTTGAATCGATCGCCTTAAGTTTAGATTCTTACCGGGAACCTCAAAAGTTTGAAAGATCCCATGCAATGGCTTTCAAAATGCATTAAGAAGCATTCTCACGTAACCAGCCAATGCAATTCCATGGACCTTATTCAAAATCCGAAATGATTACGCAGAGAAAGGATGGGAACCATCCAACTGGTACCAGAACTCATCAGTAGTCCTAATTCATATGATGGTTTCCTTTGAATTCACATTCTTTAATCTATAAATATATATACATGTATATGTGCTTATAATTATATATGCGAAGTAATTATGGTATTTCCATAATTCTTACAAGCAAACATCTCAATTTATTTTTGAGTATGGACTAGGCCAACTTGGAAAGCTATTTTTTCAAATTATTTCTAGATGGAATGATGAAACGAGGCCAATTATTTAAGTGGACCTTTGTGTGGTGCAACCCATGATGAACCCTAAAATTAGTTAACCATCTTATGGTAATTTATATAATAATAACTGAAACTCCTAAAATCGATGAGACAGCAAACACGGATATGCACTATAATGCCCTGAGCTTAAAACCTCGATCGTGGAGTCAAAGAAAGAAATTAAAGGAGCATATGGTATAGTTGGTTTGATCGATTTCCCGTTTTATTATACCAATCAATAAGGATACCGATGATATAATAAAAGCACAGATGATGTTTTCATTTATGGTTAGCGAAATCAGCTTTCAAATTTGCTGGCCACCTTTGTATTCATTTATAAAACAAACTTTAAAATCACGACATGTGTGCATATATACATTTCCCATTTATGCTAACGACGAGCTCATAGAACTGATAGAAGGGACTAAGGTGTGTGCTTACGTTTCCGTTTTTGACCTTTAATTTTTTCTTCCTGGAGATGATTATGTTTTATGCTTAGATCGATGATTTATTCGTGGAAGTACGTTTAACGTGTATGAAGAAAAAAGTGGAGTGTCCCTTTAGTCTCAATCTCATACCCACCCTTCCCTAACGTGTATTGTTTTCATGTGGTCTAGACCAAAATCCCAAACCTTTTTTCTCTGTCTATAAATACTCATGACATTCCCGTAAGCTCAATATACCGAGTAATTAGCTAGCTAACCATTAGGATCAATTAGTTTGCTTATGCACAAAGGGAACAAGTCGAGTGATGGCCAACCAAAAGCAAATCTTCTGGTTTTTGGTCATCATAGTCTCTTTAGTTGCTTGTTATTGCACTTTGCAAGAGGACCCACAAGATGATTATCCTGATGATTCACCTAATGCGATTGATGACGGTGGGACATTCAAGAACTTGATCAAGCAAAGCCCAGATGATTTGAGGTTGAAGAGAGTGGATAAGTTGGTTGGCCCTTTTCTTTCGCTTAACACTTTAAATGTCAATGATTACGGAGCTAAAGGGGATGGTATTACTGACGACACGCGGGTATATCCACCTTCCCTCTATCTCTTAGCCTGTTTTTTTTTTCCTGATAAAAATTGGTCCTTTTGTTTAATCTTGTCGTGATGTGGGTCAATTCAGGCATTCGAGAAGGCTTGGAAAGTTGCATGCTCTTCTTCTGGTGAAGCAGTTTCTCTTGTGGTGCCTCAGCAGAATTATCTACTCAAGCCGATAAGATTCTTGGGGCCATGCAAATCTGACATTACAGTGCAGGTTAATTAGTACTACCTCTTGTTCTAGTTATAACACCTCGTTTGTAGACTATATAAACAAGGTTTTATAATTTGGACCGGAGACAGTGTGTTGCATATCTCTCTATACTAGTATGAGTAAAGAAGTTGTAACTATATGCAAATACAATGAATTTATTTCAGATTTCTGGAGTGCTCGAAGCGTCTGATAATCCTTCAGACTACAGCCATGATCCCACACACTGGCTTGAGTTTAAGAATGTCCAAAGGCTATCAGTTGAAGGTGATGGAACCATCAATGGAAATGGAAACATATGGTGGCAAAACTCATGCAAAAGGAAGAAAAAGCTTGTAAGCCATTGAAACAAGCTAGCCCACCAGATATATATATACAGATACATACATACATACATACATACATATATATATATATACATATAATCTTATTGAACTACGTACTGATCATGCCTTATCTGTTGCTTTTGCTCTCCCCTCTGGTAGCCCTGCAAGAATGCCCCTACGGTACATATCTCCTTGATCATATCAATCTCTTTCTCAAATTTTGTGTTTTGATGGCTGGTTAGCTTATTTGTTTATGGCGGTTGCAGGCTCTGACGTTCGATAAGTGCGAGAATTTGGTGGTTGAGAACTTGACGATAAGAAATGCACCGCAAATTCACGTATCGTTCCAGGATTGCATGCACGTTAGAGCTTCGGGTCTCACTGTGAAGGCACCACGGGATAGTCCTAACACTGACGGAATTCATGTCACTAATACACAAAACATCCAAATCTCAAACGCTGCTATAGGAACTGGTAATAATTTTTTGGCCAGTCATCTAAATTCCCTACTTCATATGTACTTTCCCTAATTTTTTCTTAATACGTCACTTTCCTGGGATTTTTGTTTTTGTAAGCATAACATGCATATTAGCAGCAGCAATGTTACGTTGAAAATTACTACACTATTATTATTAAAAACACAAATATACCATATTTGCTCTCTTTTTTTTTCAATAAGTTTCATTATTAAAAAACGCAAAAAGATTTACTGAGCGTCCTCAACCCCTAAAATAGAACCTTTTGTATCTGAAATAACCCATAAATATGTATGTTAAAGGAATTTTCTTTTTTTATAGGAAATAACTAATTTTTTTAACTTATGTAAACTAACAAAACTGAAAACTTATAAAAAAAGACTAAAGAGGGTATAGATAACAAAATGTTAGCTTTCAGTTTTTTAATATATATCACACTTTGGAAGTGAATGTAACATATTATAGGAGATGATTGTATATCAATGCAAGAGGATCCCGGAATGTACAAGCTGCAGATATAACCTGCGGACCAGGCCATGGTATCAGGTAATTTACCTTTGATTTAATTTACTATTAAAATCCAAAATCTCCCATTAATCTCCACACCGAAGTGTCCAGTTTATAATAGAAAATGAAACTAATTGGCAACGATGAATCTCAGCATCGGAAGCTTAGGGGCCAAACAAACCGAAGCTTTTGTTTCTGGCATAACAGTAAATGGAGCTAAGCTATCTGGAACTACAAACGGAGTAAGAATTAAGACATGGCAGGTATATATATTACAAACTTGACTTCCGATGAATTTGCCTTACTGCTAATCTATGGAGTTATATATCCTTTATTGAAGGGTGGGTCAGGAAGTGCCAGCGACATCAAGTTTCAGAACATAGAAATGAAGAATGTGAGCAACCCCATAATAATAGACCAGAACTACTGTGACCAGAAGGATCCATGCAAACAAAAGGTAAACATTAAATAGATGCGTACATTAACACATAACATGCGTATCAAATGAAATTGTTGCTAACAATGATCAGTTTGGTTTTAGCAGCAGTCAGCGGTTCAGATTAAGAATGTGTTATACCAGAACATAAAAGGTTCGAGTGCTTCAGAAGTAAGCGTGAGGTTTGATTGCAGCGAGAGCTTTCCATGCCAGGGGATTGTGATGCAGAACGTAGACTTGACACTGGAAACAGGGCAAGCTTCCAAAGCTTCATGCGACAATGTTCAAGTGTCCTACGTTGGACACGTAACCCCTCGCTGCCCATAGGAACACACAAACTCATCCCATGCCTCCATCCCCAGTTACTCTGTGTGTGTGCGTGTGTGTAGATATGGCTATTAGTGTCATTGGCTTGACAGTCTTTCATGTAGTGTTGCATCACCATTATTCCTTACTTGTTTTAATCAATAAAACATTACCATCTTATTCATAAACATTGGACTCTTCAGATCATATTAAGTATGTTAATAGTGAGCTGCGAGACTGACTTAATAGTGTGAACATTAACAACCGCCTTTTTTTCCTTTTCCGGCGAGTGTTTCTTCTCAAGAGGATTGCTTAATTAAATTAAAATAATTTAAGCCATATAGGAATTTGCTGTTCAATTAAGATGTGAGGGGGTTGTATCTCGTCTCTAATAAACAATGAGTGGGATTGCGATCAGACAACACGTCTCTAAGAAACATGTTACCTTTGTATTTCCTCCGAGCCCATGTTCCCGCCGCCTCTCTGAGACCGCCAAGAATTCGATTATGGTTTGGGGAGTCATTATGCAAGTGTCATTATATTTTGTGGGATTAATAACAATCATTTATAATGATGTTAGTTGAGAATAATCTTGTTTAAATCCAATCAAGTGCAGAGATCATTATTTTCTAAACTTGAAGAAGAAGCGCCCCAAGTACAGCCTGGCTGGGGTGAGGAAAGAGGCGTGACTTTTGAGCTAAAGTTTTGGGTATTCTTTATCAACACATGACATGATGAAGCCCACTTCATTCTCTCTCTTTCTTTCTTTCCAGAAAGCATGCAACGTTGTATTGTAAAGGCCAAACACCGCCGGGAAAGTTCTCATCCTCTCTTCTCTCCTTTATCCTTCTCTAATCTCTCTTCATTTCCCCCACTGCTTACACGATGAGTTAAATACTATCTTTTACGTTTCTGTTATTATTTTTTTTTTAATAAAGACATGATATTCCTTAAGAAATAAGCTTAACAATTTGTCTCGAAGAAAATTTGTCCTTAGTGGGTAAACAGGAGTCTGAAGGTTAACTGCCGCCATTCTCAGTGGCGCCAACGTGAGCATCTATTGGCTCGCATTAATTATATTCTTATTTTTTTATAAAAAAATAATTTTATAAGGGAGAAAAAAGAGAGTCAAGGGGCCGTCTCATAATTATGAATAATTAAAGTAGAGTACGTAAATGGCCCCCCCCCAAACGGTTGCATTGTGGGCAAAAATTCCACCATCATTGGCAGGCGCCAGCTACGCGGTGTTTCCCGCAGTTCGTTGATCGTCTGCAATTGTTAATCTGTCCGCAGTTCATTGTTCGGCGGCAATTGTGAATCTCTCCGGCAGCCTCCGACGTAAACTGCGATAATTATTCTCTTTCTTTAGCTTCGGATCGAAGGCAGATTATATTACACTCCTACTGCATTTTTTTTTTTGGCATGTCTCAGGGATTTCCAGCCTTTGTTCCGCATTGGTACAGGCTTCTTCCCCTCCTTAATTTCGTCAAACCTTTTCTCTGTTCACACAATTATTGAATTCAATCCTGTTTTTCTTTTCATTTTGGATTTTTCTAAAATTGCTTTTGCAGGCTGGTGTTTGAATTTGAGAGTGTCGAGCTGCGTTTGAGCCTTTTTTTCTCTTCTTCGGGTGCAAATCCGAGTTTCTGATTGTTTAATAAGGGAAAGAAAGCATAATTTTCAAACGACATTGTTATTATTCGCCTTCGCCGAATTGTTTATATCGCTAGAATTCCAACATGGCTACGGTCTCCGGTGTAGTTTCGCGTCAAGTTTTGCCTGCTTGCGGGAATCTTTGTTTTTTCTGCCCATCACTGCGGGCAAGGTCGAGACAGCCTGTGAAGAGGTACAAGAAGCTGATTGCTGACATTTTCCCTCGTAACCAGGTGTGTTTTCCTTATTATTTTGATTTTCTATATGCTAATCATGTCACATTGTCATTACAAGAGCAGTTGCTTGTCTCTAAGATGTTGCTCTAAGACGGATCCGCAATGATTAAAATTTCATTTTACTTTTATACTGTTTAAAGTAGTTCTCAGAAATTGAAGACAAATATATTCTTATTTGCAGAAGACTAGACAGCATGATAACAGCAACTGAAAGTGAAGTCTGTTTCCTTTCTCTGTTCTCTATGTTACTTAAAACATAAAAGCTTGTTCTGTTATAAAACCACAGTCCTCTAGTCAAGCGATGGAACTGATCCTCTAGTGTAGATGGATCCACAATTATTAAAGTTTCATGTTACCTTAAAGCTTTAAGGTAATACTCAGATATTGAAGACAATTATATTCTTTCTGCAGATGATTAGACCGCATGATAACAGCATCTGAATGTGAATTCCATTTCCTTTCTCTGTTTTCTGTGTTACTTAAACAAAAATGCTTGTTGTGATATGAAATCTTAGTCCTCTAGCTGATGGAAAATGGCTGAGGAACTGATCCACGTCCTTGTTTTATATTTTTCCGATCTGCCCAGATGGGGCGCCTGGAATATAAACATCACGGAGCCAAAACGGGATTTAAGTGTCTAAGAGGCATGCTGTAGTTGAAAGTTCGAAGTATTTTTGCCTCCCATCTTTCTGTGGCTTCTTCTAGCATTTTTAGTTTGAAGTTTGAACATTGAATGTTATATTTCTGCAATTTTTACCTTAACCATTCAGGCTCAGAAGATTTTCATTCTTGATAAATCCCTTGTGATATCCATTCTTAGCATGACTAAAGTGCCTCTTTAATTGTTTTTTGTTTGTTTTGGTGCTATCCTATAATTCATTCAAATAAAATGCTTGCTGGCTTGCTGCCTTTATTTTATGTTTACTCTTTGTATGAATTGACAGGAGGAGGGGCCAAATGACAGGAAAATAGGAAAACTATGTGAATATGCTGCCAAAAATCCTTTACGCATCCCAAAGGTAAGGATTCGACAAAAAAAATCTACAAGGGAATGTTGATTCATCTTCTTCTGGTGATATCATTCTGAAATTTTCTGTTTTGAACTGACTTATTACAGAAAAAAAAGAAAACGACGTTCTATTCTTTTTTCTCCCGCTGGAAATAAGTTCTTTATTTTCATCTCTTTTACCTTGGCTTGGCATCCATTGTTTTATGTTTTCATCGGCTTTGACATAATATTCATGTACCCATCGACCCCTTACAATGTTCCCCTTTCAAAAGGTTTGACATTTTGATAGTGGACCTGATGTGAAGCATATTGTGGCAATTAAGTCCTTGGATTTGCTGCCTCTTTTGTCTAAATGATCATCAAATTTCCAGGTTATCTTGTGCCAATGCATGATAATATCATGCTAATACATGTTGAGGAATTACAAAAAATTTGTAGTCTAGAACAAGTGATTTATACTCTTTTTATTGTTGTATCCTTCATCTATTTCTTTAACATGTTTTTTTAAATGCTTTCCCAGTAACTAGATCATAAAGTTTCCTGATTTTTATATTAAAATAAGCTCAAAATTTTCAATACTCAAGGGTTGTTGCTATTCTCACTAAGTTGTATGGTTAATCAGATTACAAATGCCCTTGAACGAAAGTGTTACAAGGAACTGCGTATTGAGAACTTCCAAGCAACAAAAATAGTCATGTGCATTTACCAGAAATTGCTGCTTTCATGTAAAGAGCAAATGTGAGTTCATACTTGTCTTATCTTTAGGCTTATATATGAATGGCTTATTGCTTTGTGTGTGCATATGGCTTTTTGCGTATCACGATCCTGTTGCTCTAACACATTTCCTGTTGTTGACTGGTTGGCACTGGTTAAAATTGGGAAGAGATAGGCAAGTGCAATTATCAAATATGTTTCTTGCATGTATGCATAACCCACAGCCAAAAAATAAGTGGCTAAAGAAAGTATAATCACGTCACTGCATTTATAGAAGAATCACTAGTGCATGATTCAGATTAATGATGTGGGGTGTAATTCTTTTGCTTCCTTATCTGCTTCTAAACGATTGCAGCTATCGTTTTCATACATATCTTAATTTGCACCATTAACACAAACACTGGTTTTATTCTTTGTTTTTTGATAGGCCATTATTTGCAAGTAGCTTGTTAAGTATTATTCACACTTTGCTGGATCAAACGCGGCAAGATGAGATGAGAATTATAGGATGTCATACTCTCTTTGATTTTGTAAATAATCAGGTTGGACTTGACGGTTCTTCAATAGTTACAACTTTTAAGTTCAGCACGTACAATAAAAAAACAAAAACTTTGATTGTGTCCTAATTTTCCTTTTTTATTTTTTAAATTTTGTAGATTGATGGGACTTACTTGTTCACTTTAGAAGGTTTTATCCCAAAACTCTGTCAACTAGCTCAAGAGGTAGGGATGATGACAGGGGAAGAAATTTACGTTCAGCTGGTTTGCAAGTCCTCTCATCAATGGTATTCGCCACCATGATCTTTAAACATTTATATTCCATTCTTTCAATGAGAACGACATTTTGAATTTTTTGGTTTAAATGTGAGGGGGCAATCCAATCGAGTTATGTTCTTCTCCTTTGACATAAGTATATTGAATTGTATTCTATTAGTTCCCAATACATAAACCTTTGAGCATATGGTTTTGCAGTATGGACATATGCACTCAACACTTCTAAATTTTACTAATATCATTTTTCCAAAGAGAATTATCTTTCACAAGTACTTGTCTTTCAGGGTACAAATTGCCTAAATCTTCTGTGGTCCAAGATTTTCACTCTGCATACTGACACAACAGCAACAATGATCTGCGCACATCTTTCTGGCATTGGTCCTGTCTAAAGCTCCACTCCGCTAATATCTGGAATTCACATATTTTTCCTCTTGCACACATCATCCTTGGTGCCTTTTACATCGCTTTTGACCCTTCTCCCTGCCTTTTTTTTTTTTTACCCTCTCCACTATTTTACAATGGCCCATGACTCATCTCTATCTCTACTTGTGTTTTTTGTTGAATCGTCCACTGCTCAGAAATCACTTGTATAAGTTCAACTTCCCAGTCCATACTTAATACTAAAAGAACCTTCTTTTTTTTTTTTTTTCATTGGTTTTAGTAATGTTCATATTTGGTTAGCATGAGAGTTGACCTATCAGCATTTGGAAGACAAGTCTGAGCCCATAAAAGCCTGTTGTCTACGTCCTTGAAATTAAGTGCTATTTTTTAATCAACATATTCAATGCATACTTTATTTTCAGTTTAAATCTTGGGTCATTATTTTATAAATTGGGAACTTGTTGGAATGAAATGGATTTAAAAAACGTGATGTCTCAGTTAAGTTTGCCCGCTCTTTTGGGGAGAACTGTATCATGTATCCATATGCATCAGAACTGAACTATATACTTTCCTCTGTGTAGGTTTGGTTTATGGGCGAACACTCCCACATATCGGTTGAGTTTGATAGTGTAAGTAGTTCTTACAAATTATTCTTGTGATGCTTTTGTGTTTGCAAATATACTACTGAATGGTTTATGTTTTTTTAGAAGGTTGGGCTATTAGAGATTATTAGTATAACGTTCTTTTAAGCATGTTTTTTGTTTTTTTGTTTTCCCAAAAACCTTTTTAAGTCTAGTGGCACAAGACACACCAACTCTTCTTGTGAGGATGGTCACAAGTTTAAGTCTATGCTCATGTGTGTAGCTGTGTGGGTTAGAATGTATATGATTGTTAAAATCATTAAGTTAAAATGGACAAAACTTTCTAGTCAATGTTTTCTGATATTTTAAGACTATAGAATCCCAATTTGCCACCCCATCTCTGTTACCCCAACATGGCAACATCCACATCTCTCCTACCCCAGCTTTATGCCCTTGTTGTTCACAAATTGGGAGGAGTCGGTGAGGAGGGTAGACCAACATGTAGAGTCCTATGGAAAAGGACAGGGAAGACTGAAGAGAAAGTTCAATGAAGTCATTATTAGGACCTTTTGGTTGACAAATTATCTAAGGATTTAATTGCTCATAGAGTGCAGTGGCATCGTGTAATCCATGTAACCAATCCCACTTAGTGCGATAAGGTTTCTTCTTGTTGTTGTATAGAATCTCAATTTGCATCTTGTACATAAGTTCACTGCAACTGACTTTTGCTGTTGACTATATTGTTGTATTTAATTTATACCAATGTTATAGAAACTAAATGCCATTTATTTTCCTATTAGATCTCTTATGATTTTTCCCCTCGATTTAACTCAACAGATTGTTTCTGTTGTCTTGGAAAATTATCAATGTCACAAGAAATCTTCAGAAAGTCTTGATCCTGAGCAACACGGTCCTAAGAATATGTGGGTTCAAGAAGTGATGAAAAATGATGGCCGCAATTCTGCTTTGCCAGATGTCAGAATGAGAATTCCACCCTGGAGTGAAATAGTGGATGATAAAGGCAAAATAAATGTGACAATGTAATTTTTTATTTTGTTAGAAGAAAATATTTAAAATACCATTGAGTTCTCTTCTGTTTACTTCGTTACCTTCTGATGATATGCTTACAGGGAAGATGCCAAGAATCCATGCTTTTGGTCTGGGGTTTGTCTAAACCATATGGCCAACTTAGCCAAAGAAGGCACTACTGTACGTCGTGTAATGGAATCTTTATTCCGATACTGTGATAATGGAAATTCATGGTCCATGGCACATGGCATTGCCTTTTCCGTTTTAAAGGATGTGCTACTTATAATGGACAATATGGGTATACTATCCTTTTTTTTTTTTTTTAATTTCATTTTAAAATTCTCTGATGTTCTATAGTAATGTTGTCAGCTGATTCTGGTCCTCTGTTTTCTCATTATTTTCCTCCTTCAATTTGTTGCAGGGAAAAATTCACATGTTTTACTGTCAATGTTAGTTAAGCATCTTGATAATAAAGTTGTCCTTAAACAACCCAACTTACAATTAGACATTGTTGAGGTGACTTCTTCCCTTGCAAAACATACAAAGGCTCAACCGTCTGTGGCAATAGTAGGTGCATTAAGTGACCTATTGAGGCTTTTGAGGAAGAGCATACAATGCTCGTTTGAGACAAATCTAGATGCTGACATACTCAATTGGAACAAGAAGTTCCGAGAAGCGGTGGATGAATGCCTTGTACAGTTATCAATCAAAGTACCTTGTCTCTCCTTTATCTTTCTATTCAATTTATGGCTAAACCTCTAAAGCCATTGGCCATTGATGCTTGGGATTACTAATCTGCAGGTTTCATGTTGTCTTTCAAATTTTAAACCTCAAAGATTTCCTTAAACTGTTGAATATTTTGCTATCAGAGAGAGAGAGAGAGAGAGAGAGAGAGAGAGAGAGTAAATAAGCTGCAGCTCATTAAATGATTTATCATAAAAAGGAGAATAAATGGGCTGCTGTACATGAACAGGTTGGAGAAGCAGGACCAATTCTTGAAGTTATGGGTGTGATGTTGGAGAACATCTCAAGTATTACAGCAATGTCCAGGACCACAATTTCTGCTGTTTATCGAACTGCCCAAATTGTAGCCTCCTTACCAAATTTGTCCTACCAGAACAAGGCAAGGAGTAACCTCAATTTTTTGTGATAATTTCATTGGCTAATGTGAGTTTCAAGGATAAATTTGCTGCTATAACTCTTCTTCCCTTCTTTAGGGTTTCCCTGAGACATTGTTTCATCAGTTAGTCCTGGCTATGGTCCACCCAGATCATGAAACACGAGTGGGAGCTCATCGCATCTTCTCTGTGGTTCTTGTACCAACATCAGTTTTCCCTTGTCCATGCTCGGCTGTTTCTTACTCTAGGAAGGCATTGGTGGTTCCACGAACCATCTCAAGAACAGTTTCTGTTTTCTCTTCTTCTGCTGCCTTGTTTGAAAAACTGAGGCAGGAGAAATGTTCCTCAAGGGAAAATCTTAGTTTCGATGACAAAGATGTCACTGCAGAAGAGGAGCAAACAGCTAACAACAATAGTGGGATCCTGGGCAGGTTGAAATCAACCTACAGTCGAGTGTACAGTTCTGCGAGAGATGAGAATTTTGGAAATACTGCCAACATGAACTTGGTAAGTCCTGCAGTTGTCTTGATGCTTCGACATCCTTGGCTTTCTGCTTATTATATGATTTCACATAGTAAGCTTATTCTCCCTCCCTCTCTTTCTCACACTCTCATGTAGACACCCTTGCACTTGAACTTAGATTTTAATTAAGAGCTCTATTTTGAAGCGATTGTATATTGTTTTTTCCCTTGAAAAACCAGAAAAGAATCAGTTTAGGTTGTGTTGCAATACACAATATTTGACTAATCCCATGGTGTGTAGCGTGTGAGATGGTTGGCCTTTGGATGGGTAGGAGATTCAGGCACATGTCACAGTACCAATAAGAGTGATATAGCCCCTACTTCAACCTCAGTGTGCCTTTATACATGGGTTTAATTTTGATTTGTTATTGTGGTATGTAATGAGCTTCCTTTTTCTCAAATACAGGAGGCTGTTTCCCTCAGGCTGAGGAGTCATCAGATAAACCTCTTGCTGTCATCAATTTGGGCACAGTCCATCTCTCCTGGAAATATGCCCGGAAATTATGAAGCCATTGCTCATACATACAGCTTGGTATTGCTGTTTTCTAGAGATAAGGTACCATAGGCACTCATGCAAAGCATTAAATGACCTTCAGACAAGGGGGGTCCTTCTTTTTGTTTATTTCTGTGTTGTATCATGGTAAAATGTAATGCCTGCAGAAATATTACGCTGTTATTGATGTTTGTTGAGATCAAATTAGCAAGTTCTTACATGGTCCTTTTGCAATCTACAGCTTCAATGTGTTCATATTTAACACTTCATTTGCTTGAGAGAGTCTTCTTTCAAGCTCTGGTTTAGTTTATGCTGCTCCAAAATCTTGCTTTTCCCTAGTAACAGCAATCCTGCAATAAAACGTCCATTTCATACCTTTGAAAATAGTTAGTTGTGGAATATCTTACTATGGTCTAGTATGTAAATTTGCTTTTTCGGGGGGTCATATTACTAAAGAAGAAGAAAGGTTTGCGGTTGTCTATATCATTATTGACATTATCTAAATCTTCCTATTTTAATCTGTTCCTCTTCAAGACTGGTACATCCATTTTCCCCTTTTAACATACTTTCACAAATTTATCTTGTGCAGAATTCTTTTCATGAGATACTGGTGCGGAGTTTTCAGTTGGCATTTTCTTTGTGGAGTATTTCTCTAAAGGATGCAGGTGAGCTGGCAGCCATGTCAATAATAAGTTTGATTGTCCTGGGCAGAGTTTACAGGCTAGCTCGTGGCTTTTGAAATTTTCTTTTCCTCTCAATGAATTCCTATTTTCAACCCAATAAAGAAGACAACACCAAGGAGGACTGCATTGTAATTCTGAGATATCATTTGGGTGTGAAACTGGACAGTGATTAGTATTGCTAAAGAACCAGTACCTTTGTGGTGTGTTTATGAAGGAAAGAACTGAATGTGCTGTTGGAATATTCAGCCTTGTTTAATATGTATTTATATTGCAGGGATGCTGCCACCATCACAACGAAGATCAATATTTACTTTGGCAATTTCGATGATTCTGTTTTCTTCAAAATCATACAATCTTGCTCCTGTTGTGCACAGTGCCAAGGCTGTGCTTACTGAGAAAAATGTGAGTCGTTTCTCAAGCTGTCCCTCAAAATTATATATTTATGCGTGGAAAGATGTTATAATTTACTTTTCTTTTAATTATTTCCTTACATGCTTTCACTTCCTGAAAGTAAATATATATCACCTTATCCTTTTTCTTTTTTTCCCTCAGATTGACCCTTTCCTCCATATGGTTGGAGATCACAAGTTGGAGGCTGTCCACTCTGAGCCTGGCAATCTGACCATTAATTATGGGTCCAAAGAAGACAATGATAGGGCCCTAAACACCCTTGCAGAATTGTCAACAACCAAGCACCAAACTCAGGATTTCTTTGCTTCTGAAATTATTAGGAGCTTGGAGAGTTTGTCAAAAGTAATGTTTTTCACTTGTATATTTTAGATTGAGCCAGAGGGTAAAAAAATATATTGCTTTTTCCTGTTTAATGACCCTACAGTCTTTTGCACAGCCTACATTTTCCTCAATAAGAGAGCAACTGCAGGAAGAATTTTCCCCAGATGATTTGTGTCAATTCGGATCCCAATTGACAGTTGGTTCGCCAAAACAGGTATGTCAAGCTATAAGTGATGGGCTCTCGGGATCTTGTGACCATGGCTATTCATATCTCCCTATTTCTTTTTGTTTCTGCCATTGATTTGTGACTGAGGTAGTTTCTTTTGTCCAGGAAGCTTCAAAATTATCAATAGAAGACGACTTGATTCCTGATTTATTTGATAATCAAACAAAGCACAACTTGGATTTGACTGCAGAAGTCCCAATTCTTTTGAGTGCTAATCAACTTCTAGAATCAGTACGTGGCCATTTCATGCTCTCTTGTATTCTTTCTGTACTGTTTGGTTTGTGTTTTAAGCCATTCCCATGTCAGTAACTACAAAACTGACATAACACCTTGTGAGTGAGTAGGTTTTGGACGCGTTTGAACAAGTTGAGAGAATTTCTGAATCAGCTGTATGCGATGTGCCTTACAAGGATATGGCTCATAACTGTGAGGCTCTTCTGATGGGAAAGCAATACATGTCCAGCTTGATGAGTCCCCACCAAAAGCCAGAATGCTTGATAGACTCCCCTTCACAAAATCATAACAATCAACTGATAAACACGGACTCCTCGCCCAACTTGGATGTGAGTTCCCAGAAGGTAACTACTTACGTCATGAAACTTGCATCCTGAATTAATATATTTTATATTTGTACCTCTAAATGTACGAGGCATATATATCTCTGTGTGTGTGTGTGTGTATTCCTGTTTTTACAGTCAGTGAAAGTTGAAGTTGAAACTCTCAGCATTTTAATGTTAACTGCATGCAAAAGTTGAGTTGAGCATCTAATTTGCCCATGTAAGATGCAGGGGGACAACTCGTTCTTCGACAAGAATTTGAGCGCGGACTTGCAAAAACCTCCTCCACGGCGGTGTACAGCCGAGTATCAGAACCGTCCTTACTCCTTCCATCTGCCGGCATCAAGTCCATATGATAACTTCTTAAAAGCTGCTGGTTGTTGATCCTGAAATTGGAGTATAAACTATGTTCTTGGAAGGTTAAGGTTAGACGAGAAAGCATACTCAATCGGGCAGTTGATCGGCCAATCATAAGGCTTCTAAGCAGTCTGGAATTGGTGGGTTCAAGACCCAGCTATCTCTGATAATGGCGAAGCGTTGCTCCAACTTTGTGTGTTTAATTCTTTATTCTTTTTTACGGCTTCTACTCACAGCTGAGTAGGCTTCGTGCGTCGTTGTGATTGTGGAGTAATTTATTCGCTTTCTTGCTTCGATGTACATAACAGACACTGCAGGGTTTTTGACAACTTTAGCTTTTAACAAGAATTTAGCTGCCCCGCGCCTGTCAAGAGTTATTCTATTATTTTAAACACACAGAGAACTGTACTTTTACGATGAGTCTATCGGGAAAAAAAAAATGCATCCGCGGAAAATTTGGGCCTGTTTGTTTTTATTTTCTTATTCTCAAAATAATTTTATAAAATTGTTTTTAAGGACAAGTTTTGGAAACACAAAATAAAAAACTTTGTTTGAAAAATAATTTTAAAAAAATCACATTTAAAAAAATATAAAAATTATATTTTGACAAGTGGTAGTTATTACTGGTAATGATAAGTAGTAAGTAGTAAAAGAAAAAAGAAGAAAATTTCTCCAATTTCTCAAAATAAAAAATACAAAATACAAAAACAAAAATGAAAAAACATGTAAAAGTTGTTTTGGTTTTTCAGTTTTTAAAAACATATTATTGTATTTTTGTTTTTTAAAACAATCAACTAAAACCAAATTACCAAACAAGTATTTTTGTTTTTAAAAATAAAAAAATTATTTTCAAAGAAACCAAACAAGCCATTTATTTTTTGCGATTAGTTTTATCATTGTCATTTATGAAAAGTCGTAGACTCGTAGTCGTATTTGTCAGAGCAAGACATCATTCTACTAGTATTTAATTCTAAAATGCATAGCGAAGCCTCTAGTTGGAGCTGGTCAAACAAAGAAGCCTCTAGTTGGAGAAAATTTTTTATCAATATTTTCGAGCTAGAGAAGCAAAAGATCTGTTTGAATATTTACAAGAGAAATTTACCGAAGATCAAGGTCTATAAAAGATGTATACTAAACTTAACAAATTTTATTGAAAATAAATTTTATTTTTATTTCGATTTGAATAGTCTCAATCAATCTAAGTTCATGATTTCTTTGATTAAAATATCTTGTATAGTTTTGGGCAAGAAACTTCAGGAAATTTTTTTTTAATTAATTTATATTTTAAAAATAAAAGGAAAAACTATATTCAAAATTAATATATAATTTATTACAAAATATGAATAATAGTACTCTATATGTATAAATTGATTTTTTAGAAGGAAAAAAATCAAAGAATGAAAAGTCCTTCAAGAAACTAATTTTGGTACTCATCAGGGTAATTAGCATTATGTTATTCATCAAATCACAACCATTTAAATTTAATATGGACTATCAAGATTTTAATTTTTTTAATTTTTTTTAGAAAAATATTTTTTTAAAATGATACATAATCAAAACAAATATAATCTCTTAATTATGGATTTTTTTAAAAAAATCTTTATTTAAAAAATATTAATTAAAAATTTTAAATTTAAATCATTAAAATTGCATTTGAATAGTATAATATCAAAATTAGTTTCGAAATTTTATTTGAAGAGAAATAAAATAAGCAGCTTTTGATTTGAATTTGATTGATTGACGAGTAAAATTGAATTCTAAAAGAATTTGACCAAGGAGTGTTTGGATACTTTTTAGAAGTATTTTATTACAGATCGAGACAAATTCTTCTACATATTTATCTCGTATATCATAAAAATACTTTTAAAACCCTGATTTTAATCTTATCTAAACACCCAACAAAACGCTTTCGGGCGGCAATTGCGCTGGTCATTTTGGTCGGAGTGTTTCACCCCATGTTCATAGCTGGGTCCTGTCCTGTCTTTGGTGACTTCTATCCAGCCTCCGCCTATTTATGAAAAGTCCATTTTACCCTCCACGTACAACACGAAAGAACGCTTGATGCCCTTCAATGCTTTTATCGATCTGGACCTGTCGTGAGCAAAACCCTATTTTGTTGAGCGAGCTTGTACGCACGAGGTGAGAGCGCTAGCTATTCGAACGTCGATTGAGACGCCGGTGGTGCTGTTCCATCGCCGTTGAGGTAAGATTTACACTGTAACTCTCCTTCGCGTAGGTCAAAGCATGGACTTTCGGTTTCTCTCCCTTCGACTTCATTCGTTGGATCTTGTGCGAATCTGTAATATGTGGTGGTTTGATGTAACTAGTGCGAATATGTAACGATGTGAATTTTTTTCTTTGGTTGACCTTCATCGGATTCCAGATCTTGTTCTTAGGTTTCATTCCCCAGCCTTCACACTATGGTGTATTGGTTTTGTGATTAAACACTGCCTTCTCGTGATTGTGCAATATTTTTGTTCATTGAGTGGGCATGCTGGCTTACTGATTTTTGTTCTTCGATACGGTTATGTATTGTGTTTGCTGGCCTACCTCTCTCGTGATAATGCTGTATTGGCATACTTCTCGTGATTTTCATCGGAAGGACAAGTTCTAAAGTCTCAAATTTTTGGTGATAGCTGTGCAGAATTTATTTCAGTGTTGTTCTTGTCTTCGATAATTGTATTAGGGGGCCAAGAAAGAGAACAAGACGTTCTTTTAGTAGTTGAGTTTGCCTAACCAGCCATTCATATTGTTTACTGGGAAGCGAAAATTTTGTGACAAAAATCCTGTCAGTCCTATTTTAGTCGAGACTCAAGATCCCATCCTGGAAGCCTCCCTTGGAATGTTTTGGCATGTATGGATTTCGCTATAGAATTTGGTGCTTGCAATACTTGCTGTATTTCAATAAGGATAACTTCAAAGTCCTCATATGCCTTTGCCTTTCTTTTTTTGGTGTGTGATAATAATTTGAGTTACCTTGGTTATGGCCTTCATTATGACAATTGATACATAATTCAGTATCCTGCGGACATATAAATGTTTCTTTACCAGCAATTTGTTTGTTAGGATATAATGTTGACAATCTTTTATTGACAAAGCACGGCAGATTCAGATGCTTTTTAATGTTTCCCCTATGCGTCTTTTATACCTTGATTGTTGACCATCCAATTTCCCTTTCGTTCATAACTCCTGGAATTGGGTGGTCGTTCTTCAAGTGTCGATTTGTCTTGTGAGTTTTGATGTATTTATTTCTTTCTGAACAGTTTGGACTTTGAGCATGGCTGTCAAGTACATTATACCTGCTCTAGCAGGGTCATTTGCACTTGCATGGGTCTTTGATCAACTTGTTGCTGATCGAAAGATATTTGGAGGTACGTTTTGTGTTCCTTGGACATTCCTTTGCTTTGCAACCGATTCAGCAGTTTTGATGGAATACCTAATTGTTATATTCAGGCACTACCCCCCATACAGTTTCAAATAAGGAGTGGTGGGAAGAGACTGACAAAAAATTTCAATCATGGCCTCGTACTGCTGGTCCACCAGTGGTCATGAACCCCATTAGTCGCCAAAATTTCATTGTCAAGTCCCGCTCTGAATGAATCTTCAAGAAGATTTCGATGGTTGATAGACTCTTTGTTGATGGGAGATATGTCTCTAACGCCAAACTCTATTTGATGCGAGATTGTTGTATGAGTCAATGACTCTAGTTTGATCTCATTTCTTTCCTGCTTTTTCGGATTTTAATTACCGTGTGAATACTCTATAATCTAAATAATATTCAGCAGTCATTCAAATTCCATGCTGTGCCAAGGTAACAGTGAGAAGCAGAACCGAGTAAAGGAACTAGATGATTTTTTTAGAGATGTTACTTATAAGCAATCAGTGGTTTATGAGATGGTTCATTCTCAACAGCAACTTGCGGTTTTATTGCCGTAATGTAGGCAGCCATTTGATGGAAAGATCTGATATCCAGCTTCGCGTGATAGGCCCTTGCACTGGAAAAATATTGTAGAGAAGGCTCAAATTCATTCCCTTTTGCACCGCTTGAAATTTAAATTTGAATATTCATTGTTCCTGAAGGCGTTATAGCTGGGATGATGGGCTATATTTTGGTTTATTATTACGTAGTTTCAAGCTTTAGCTTGGAACAACTAATGGGATGCAACCTCTTATTTAATCCAAACACCATTTTAGTTTATTTCTATTTTCGGGTACTCAAATAGACAAGTTTAAAAATTTTCGTTTAAATTGCACAATCAATAATTGGTTATATATTTTCAAATTTAAATGCTGAATGATTCAGTTATTAGCATCTTTCAACGTCCCAAAGCAAATGTTCCCTAAATTACCACGTCGTATTATTGTTCGGATGTTGAAAATGAGCCTGGGGTTCGGGCAACATTGAGCCTTGGATGCCACTTGCTGTGGTGTTATAAATGTGAAACCAAACAGACTAGCAGTTCTGCTCTTGGGGTTCCGGCAACTCAGTTTAGCATCCAAAGAGGTGTGGCTGTAATTAAATCATCTGCAAAGGAAGGAAGGCTGCCTCGCCGGTGGAGTAAAATCTAGGTTGGCCGAAGACCATGCTCAGTTGAGAAACTCCAAATCCTTTCCCCTTTCAAATTCCTTTCCTTGATTCTCATATTCCTGCCCCCAACCTTTTCCCCTCCTTTTTAAATTGGAACTAATGGTCAAATGAGGTCGCCATTGTTCCTACGTAAATGCCCGAGGGTATTTCTCAAGATGTTTTGCTTGTCTTTTCTTGTGAAGTGTGCATTAAATGCAGGGAGGGACATGAACCAAACATCTAAATCTGACGAAGATTTAAAATTTGATTAAGTAACATTAAAATGTTGAGAGATGAGGATCGTTGGTATTTAACTTGATAGCTACCCACGTTTTATCACACAAGATATTTGTCTACACTGCATTGGGCTATTATGAACGTAAATTATAATGGTTGTTTATAGTATGCATGGATGAGTGTTCAAATGCACAAACTGCGAACTCAACATAAAAGTAGGAACTTTCGATCAATACTAACATTTAATTGTTGTATGCGTCTCCCAGAACAGAAAATTACATGTTGCAAACTGCGGGGAAGTTAATATGATAGATGAACTGAGCTTTCCTGTCTTAATCACGAGGCTTTCTTGCAGTGTATATATCTTCTTCAGTTTTCAGCCTCTCAGAAACGAACCTCTCATTTTAAAAACTAATCCTCTTGGACAATCATGTAGGAGGAGCATGATGAAGATCTAACGTCAGTAATGGCCTTGAGATATCTGAGATCCTCAACGACACGGATCATATCACCAGAGAACTTTAATTCCAGTGTGCTCAATCTTGCCTCAATTCTTGAAGCATTTCCACTACCTTCTTCATCTTAGGTCGTTTAGCAGGTGTAGTATCAGTGCAGAGCAATGCAACCTTCAAAGCAGCAAGCATTTCTTTCCTCCAACTAAATGATACTGTGCTAAGCCTTGAATCGAGTATCTGCTCTGGAGTTTCCCCTCTGACTGGAGCACTATGAACCCACTTCACCAAATCTATGCCCTCATCGAAATCCTCATCAACTGGGGGTCGTGACGTCAGGATCTCAAGTAGAACTACACCATAACTGTAGACATTGCCAGGTGCTGTGACTTGCATTGTATATGCATATTCTGCGTCAAGAAATAAAACATGAAAGATGCGATTAAAAAAAAAAAGAAAAAGAATGGATGTATTTCTTATGGCTATCAAATTCCCCAACAGAACCATGATATGTAAGAAATTTTTAATGGTCCAATCACATGATGCTAAACAGGAAAAGAACACATGGACTTTTCAAGTTTTTACCAGAAAACCCATGGGAAACGCCTAAACAAATGTCCTTATTTTTATCATGTGTAATATTTGTGTTGGAAAATTGTATACCTGGTGGTATGTATCCAAAGGAACCAGCAACAGCACTAATGCTTGCGGTACCTCTGGTTGGGTCGAGAAGTTTTGATATCTCAATCTCCCCAAGCAAAGGCTTGAAATTTGCATCTAGAAGAACATTACCAGAAGAAATGTCAAGGTGGATAATTGCCACATGATGCAGGAAAGCCAGACCTTCTGCAACGCCGATGGCAATGGATAATCTAGTAGGCCAGTCGGGTTGATATTCAGGTTGCTTGCTAGATTCATGAAGAAACTGGGCCAATGTTCCATTGGGTAAAAAATGATGCAAGAGAAGAGCAACATCTTCATAAATAACATATCCGATGGGCCGAACCAGATTGTCATGACAGAGTTTGCTCAGCCTCTCAAGTTCCCTAATCATCTTGTTTTGGTGGTGGATTATTGTCTTATCCATGGACTTGAGTCTCCTAACAGATAAAACCATCCCAGAAGGCATGACTGCCTTGTAAACTGTACTGAAAGTACCACTGCTGAGCTTATTAGAATCCTTGAGGGTTGCCTTAACAACCGCATCAAGGTCTACAGCTTGTCTTAGATTCTCAACAAAGACACTCCCTGCTACTATGGTTGGTTTGTTATTAGTTTCGTCATCAACCATCCCAGCATCTTTGGCGGCTTTTTCTTGCCTTTCTCTAATCATAAACAGCAAGACCACCACAGTAACTGACATAAAAACTGCCAAACCAGAACCAATTACCGCAAGTACGATTCTGTAAGAAACCCTATGATGGTAGTTATTGCTGTCATCATAAATATCTCCACATGAAGAGTTTAATGGCTCTCCACAGAGCCCTTTATTACCCACAAAACTTGAATTGGGACTCTTTTGGAATGGCACAAATGCTGGTACTGGGCCGCTGAGCAAATTATTTGAAAAGTTAACCTCTATCAAGCTCAACATACCCTTCAGCTCAGCTGGGATATTGCCTGAGAGTCTGTTGTTCGAAACATCAAGAGAGACAAGTTTGTCCAGTCTTCCTAACTCAGGAGGCAGTGATCCATGAAGATGATTAAAGCTCAAATTTAAAGCAATCTGCAAGTTCCTAATGTGACCAATCTCGGAAGGGATAATTCCAGTCAAATAGTTACCGCCCATTTGCAACTCAAGAAGTTTTGCACAATTTCCAATTTCATGAGGGATCTCCCCTCCAATGGAATTCTGACCCAATAGCAAGAACTGCAGCCTGGACAACTTGCAGATGTCAGTTGGTAGTGTTCCATTGAACCTGTTATTGCTTATATCAAGCTTGTTAAGATTCCTACACCTCAAAATTGACTCCGGAATATTTCCAAATAGGCTATTTCCAGAAAGAATTAATTCCTGCAAGTTCATAAGCTGTCCAAGTTCTGGTGGAATCGTTCCACTGAATCCGTTCGAAGCTAAGTTCAGAAGGGTGAGATTAGAACACTGAGAAAACTCAGACACTACCTCACCAGAAAGATTGTTATTGTCTGCTTCAAAGTAGGTGAGACTACTAATGTTTCCTATGGTCTTAGGAATAGCACCTACTAGATGGTTGTTCCCAATTCGGATATTGGAAAGGCCTTGGCAATTCCCGAGTTCTTGAGGAAGATCACCACTCAAATTGTTCTGGGTCAGAACCAGAACTTCCAGCTTTCCTGAAGTAAAAATGCTTGCCGGTATAGGGCCTTCAAGTTGGTTTGAATGCAGGTTAAGAATTTCAAGCTCAGAAGCCAAGCCAAGATTATCCGGAATCATGCCACCTAGAAGATTCTCATAGGCAGCCAAAACTCTCAGATTGGTTAAGTTTCCCAGCCAAGAAGGTAGAGATCCATTCAGTTGATTACTAGAGACTTGAAACTCCTGCAATTTCTCTAGTCCATGAAGTTCACTTGGTATTTTTCCCACAAGCACGTTGTTGGAAAGGTTTAACGACATAAGATTTCTTAGGCCGCCCAATTCTGGTGGAATTGAACCTTCGAACTTATTTGAAGACAAATCAAGAACTTCAAGATCGGATAAATTTCCAAAAGCCGGAGGAATGTAACCATGAAAATTGTTATTTGAAAGGTCAAGCTGCCTAAGAGCTTTGAGCTGGGACACTAGAGTGACATTACCTCGGAGGTTTGCATGAGACAGATCGATCTTCACTACCATTGAGCGGTCATTGCAGCTAACGCCTTGCCAAGAGCAGTAACTTGAGTTGTTGGTGTCCCATCTTGGTACTTTAAGCTCTTGGTTAAGGGCAAGAAGTATAGTTTGATCCTGTAGCTCAGCACCCACAACTACAAGACCAGATTTTGACACATACCAAGCGACCACAAGACACAACAAGTGCGGAATTTCCATCACCGTACAATGTTCTTCCTTCACGTCTCAGAGCTTCTTCGCTTAAAGGTCTAACCGTACTACTACAGCATCAACACCACTTTGATTCTTCTGTTTTCCCCCCTTCACCCTCAACAAATCCCACTTTCCTTGCAAACCCGAGGAATTAGAATTAAAAATTAATCTTTACTGCATGCATCACCTCCTTCGATGAAGATTCCAAGCTTCTCTGCAGCCCCATATCACACATTAACTCCTTCAAGAAACCAAGTTAAGATTGCTTGAAAGGCTGAAACCTATGGATAACAACGGAGTGTGGCTACTCCTTAGTTCTGGGGCATAAAAGGCATACCCGAAAGATTTAAGGGTCTAAAGTTAAAAATCCATATCCAAGGAATATTAGAACGATGGGGCAAGACAAGGAGAAGGGTACATTATGAAGAGTGGATTGCGAATGATATGTGCATGCTTCCCCAAGATAAGAAAATGACTGCAGGGCGATAGAATGAAGAAGCAACGACTTCCCTGAATAAAAGTGAAGAAATGAGAGAAGGCAGCAGGTTCCAGCGTACAATGTTTTGGTACAGGAGTCAGGATTCACGGACCAGGTGTTTTTCTCTGTGTCACAGAGCCAGTGAATGAGAGAGACAGATTTGCGGGCTGGAGAAAATTGGGAAGGAAATTGTTTGCCTTGTGAGTTGTAAGCTTCACGAGAAATAGGCAGTGATTAGTGAATGAAAGCTGCATAAAACTCCTCTCTCTCTGACTGCGCCTTCATGGAGGGTCGCTACCCTTTAAAGCATATATTTAAGCATCGCAACATTGCCCACATACTTTGGAACTATTGCGTCGTGGGAAACAAATACCTTACGAGTATTCTTGGAATGCAATCAACTCTTGTCTTACAAAAAACAAAACTCCCCTATTTTCAGTAATCTGAGCTTAATGGTTGAAAACAGAAAACCCGTGCAGACTGTAGAGAGAGAAGAGTGTGTTTCAATTACTTCCCTAATGCTTTTTAATTACCAGTATTGCTAAAACGAATAGACGTAGTCAACATATTCAGCAAAAGTAAAGAAGAATATGGCAAAAAAAAAAAAAAAGATTTGGTTAATGAGAAAGGACCCTACAGAAGAATCTACTTGCAATGCCCTAAAGGCAAATTGATTTGAGAAGGCAATGAGATTGTCCATAATACCTAATCCTAGGATTCCCCCTATGTAAGCTTATTTTATTTATGTTAGGCGTTAAGATTAGACGTACCATTTTCAGAAGACATTGCAATAGATTTGTTAAATATTCCCAAACAAATTTCTGCACAGGCAGAAACCAGAGAACCGTCTTTCATTTTTTTTTTTATATTCATTTTCCCTCAGTTGTCCCATCCGTGGGTCTCCCCTACTGATTCAGTATTTTACACTCAAACAGATTACGCAAACATCCCCTGGTTTTCGTTTTTTGTTCTGATGAAAAACAAAATCATAACAAGTAAGCATCAAAGGGACTGGGGGCGTGTATCAGAAAAAAAATTTGTACAAGTCAGTTTGAGCACACCATATACCTTGAATGAAACCACGCTGATTCCATCACCAAGTTACACTGTCAATTATAAGGTAATTTAGATGTATTTCACACTGTTTATCTATCTTACAAAACCCATCTTTTTCTCCTTGTTCATGTCACGAAATTTTAACTTTGATCGATCTCTGTGTATAGTATTATACTATCAAAGATTCATCCTTGAGATTATCTCACTTAAATAGGTGCAGATTGTAGTTCTTAGCTTCCTAATTAAGTTCAACTTAGCTTTATTGGTCGAGAGGGAAAGGACATGATTGGGCAATCAAACTGTCCAATTACTCTCTCCTATGGTTCTTGATTCCGACCCTCCCCTGTGTGCTAGGAACGGAGGCATTTCTTTATTCTTGAAGACAGCAAAACAAAGGGATCCACATTGAGCAAGAAAAATATCAGTAGTATGGCTGTGTAAAATAATACGAGACAGCCAATGTGCATTCCAGCAAGTTACACTATTATGCTTTCTCAATGTTTTTCGGTTGGATTTTTTTTTTTTCCTGGGACTTCTTATTAGAACCTTTTAGTACAAAAGATCAAAGACATAATAAGAAATTACAACTAAACATGTTTATACATGATTACTGTATAAGTAACGTTTGTTGTATCTGGTTTCAAAAGCTTACTTTAAAAAGCACGTTTTGTCCTTTAATTGTTATTATTGCCACCGTTAATTACTACACAAGGTATGGCTACTGCTTTCTGCTTGAAACTGTATTATAATATCCATAAAGTACCAAACTTTCTTCACAAAGTCAATCACAATGAATGCGGGAGGTGTGAAGTGTGGACCATTATTTGCCTGAAAATAAAGAAGAGAACAACTGGAAAAGTGGCTTAATGGATTCCATTGCAGGCTCAAAAAGAAATAATAGTAAACTGCTGCAAAAATTGAACTGCAACCATGGGCACAACTGGACAAAAATAAACTGCTATTTATCTTTGTTAAAATATTACCAATCTCACATGAGCATCAGTGATGGTGATACATGTCATTGGACTCTGATTATCTAACCCTGCAATCTGATACGGCTTTTATTATGAAGTATACTGGGCATCACTATAAATTTATCATAAGGTGAAGGGTCACTAAGATGTGAGCTGAAATGATTGTGTTCAGTAACAACTTGTGTGAAAGTAAATTTTAAACTGTAAACAGTAAATACGTACAGCTTTAAATACATGAACCCCAAACAAGGACCTAATGTGTGCTTGAGATAATAATTGAAGGAGTCACATAATCAAAGTCTGTACATTTGTAGTCATTATTGTGATTATTTTGGTCTCACAAAAGAGAAATCAAAGAGAAGCAGAAGGCAGAGTGATTTGAAATGGGGGTGGGTGGGGCCTCATGAGGAATGGGGGAAGGAGTGAAGCATCTTGCAGACAAGTAGGGTCAAGACATGTCTGTGTGACAGTAAGCGACCACCACCACACATTATTATCATTATCAATATATATTATATTATAATAAAGTGAAAATAAATAAATAAACAAATCTAGCAATAAAAATTGAAAACTCAACATTCCCTCTGATCAAAGTTTTCGGCTATCTCTTAGCTTTAGACGAGAGAAAAAGGGAAGGACACAATCATACTTGTCTTACCACTCTTACTTTCATTTTCCCTCCCTCTCCCATTTTTCCCCCCTTTTTCCTGTTGATTATTACCGAAATTCCTTCAAAAAGGTCTTGCGTTTTCAAAAAGCATCTTTTCCTTTTGGCACAAAAGTGTGAAGAAGAAGAGGAAGAAGATGGACGTAGAGACAGAGTATGGCAGAAATTCTGCAGAAGTATCGATACTTTAGAAGTAGCTTGCTTGATAATACAATATTACAACATACTCATACAAACATACATTGACTTTATACTTCAAATAATGCAGACATCCCACCGCCTGCATGTTTTTCTGCATCATCATCCCACATTTGGATTTTCTTTTTCTTTTTTTCCCCTTCTGGTTCAACTCGTTTAATACATCATCTCTAATCTACTTACTTACATATTGGTCCAGAAAAAGAGATGTGAATATTATAATGAGCATTTGATTTCTGACATGGATGGTGGTGGGTTACTGCACCAGTGGGTTAAAACTTAATTATAAAATTGATGAATGATTGTCACTTGAGTGAACAGTGACAAGGAAATGATACTTTAATGAGATAACAAGAACTTGTTTGTTTTTTTTGTTTTTGGCCAAAAGATAATAAGAGGTTTGACGAGGAGAGGTTAGGGAGAAGGGAGAGAAAAATGAGGAAAGCAAAAGAAGGACATGATTATGAGAGCAAAATAGGTGTGACGCTTGGATGATGAGACCCTTGTTTGATGCCAAAACAAAACAAGGGACCCACCTGTAAGCCACAGCCAATGACAGAAGCAGGTGAAACGAGCCTTTGGTATGTACTGAGCAAGAGAAGTATGATTAATTAATACTACCTGCAGTTCTAAATATGGAAAAAAAAATTAATTAAATTAATTATACTTTGAAGATGCACAATAAATTAAAATCTTATATTTAGGATCAAGAAAATTTTTTTTTTTTACTAACTTTATATTTAGGATTTGAGAGTAAATGGAAATAGTGAAGAAAATTTAAAAAAAAAACATTGTAAAAAAAAAAAAAGAAGGAAGACATGACTCCACTAATGCATGTGCATGGATGATGGGTAATTGAGATGCATATGGCCTCCAACAAACAAAAAAGCAGATGGCCCTTTTTCTGTGTGGAATCTCTTGTGACAGAGACCGCCCTCTCTCTTTACTAGACAAGCATCATGGCCCTTGTATCATTTCCTGTCTCTCCCTCCTCTTTCATTTCTGCTCCTATTCCATTCAATGCCTAGCGGACTGGTAGCCAGTGGTGAGAAAGTTGATGTTGTTTTTACCTGTATTTTAGCATACTTGCAATTTCTTATACTGGCCTCATCTTATTTCTTCATTCTTCTGGATGTATAATGGATGGATTTTGGATTTACAGCACAAAGTTCACTACTTTCATACAAATGTGACGAAGCGCACTCACTGAGACGTTATAAAACCCTCTTTTTTTTTTGGGGTAGAATTATAAAACCTTTTATTAAACATTGGCCATTGATGCACGCTCAGCCGTCGTCGCAAGATTATCCTTCGTCGTTCCGGGCTTAATATTGGGCCAAGGATCCCTCATTGGGTCTCCAGGTTTAGAAGAATAATAACAATAACGGCCCATAAATTTTGAAACCTTACGGCTGGCCCTTTTTTAAGAAAAGTTTGAGAGAATCAGGTGCGGGTCGGCTTCCCGGGTCATACCAGTCGTTCTGCAAAGGATCGGTCCGTCCCGACATCCCCTGAACTGAGGGTCGATTAACGCCTATAACCCTATCAGCTTAGCCGAACCGGGGGGAAAAAATTAAAACGGGGGACGTCAACGATCATGGCATGCAATGGCCTGGCATGCAAGTCCAACTGCTACAACGACGAAGAAGCGGGAGTAGCAGATGTAGCCTCATGCACCCAATCAGCTGAGCGGACCAAGTCAGGCGCTGCAGAAGCCAATTCAATCACTAACACTCTCTGCATCAAGTGTAAGGTAAAGGAGTCCATTTCCGGGTACGGTGGCATTGATGATGGGCGGTTTTGCGCTGATTGCTTCAGGAATAATTTGTTTGGGAAGTTTAGATTCGCCGTCACTTCGAATGCCATGATTACTCCGACGGACAAGGTTCTCGTCGCATTCTCAGGCGGCCCTTCTTCTAGGTCTTTCCTTTCTTTCCGTCTACTGCAATTGCTTTTTTCTTTTTCGTGTATGTGTGTGTAGGTGAGTGGAGTTGTTGCTGAGTAAACTGTTGATTACCCATAATTCAGCGATAGATACAAAGATATATATATGTTTAATATTTTACAGTTTTATAAATAATCTCTCAAGCATAATAATGATGAGAAATTGATTTGAAAAAAAAAAAAACGATTTAGAGTGCAAAGGGTTGCTTTGTTCGATCATCCTTGTAATGAAAACGCATGTTTTTCAGGGTAGCGTTACAGTTTGTTCATGACATGCAACATAGAGCCCTGAAGAACTTTGATGCAAGTAGAGATAGGTCATTGCCAGTATTCGGTGTGGGAGTTGTATTTATTGACGAGAGTGCCGTTTCTCCAATTCCTTCTAATGAGCTAGAGAAGGTAGTCAAAGACATCACTTCGATTGTGGCAAGTCTAGCTCCGCCAACAAAAGAGTTGCATGTTGTGCCAATTGAGGCCGTTTACTCTTCGGAATCTAGTGATAGAAGGGACAGGTTAATCAAACTGGTCAACGGTGTAAGTGATTCAACTGGAAAGGAAGATATGTTGCTTTATCTTCGCATGTTGGCCCTGCAAAAGGTTGGGATCTGAATCTCAAAACTCATTTTAGCCTCAAACTTACATTTGCTGGAAAAGTTCATCCATTTGAAATTTTTTATCATCATCTAGGTTGCATCAGAATTTGGATACAACAGACTAGTATTAGGTTCTTGCATTTCAAGAATTGCTCGCCACGTTATTTCGGCCACTGTGAAGGTATGTTGTTGAATTTTGATAAAGTTGAAGACTTGAAGTCCTTGTAAGGTTGTAAATCGTGAAGTCTTGTTCATAAGTATGCCTGTTCTAATGTGATTTACTCCAACAAGTAGTTACTGGCGGTTAATTGTTATGCACTCCACCAAATTGCTTGCGTTTTATAGTAATCCTTACTCTCACCCATGTTTCCCCATTTTCATTCCAAATTAGGAGGACTGTCAGTAAGCATTCTTGAATTCCAGGATAATTGACGGGTTTTCATATCCATCTATATGTTTTGACAGGGCCAAGGATATTCCTTACCTGCAGAATTCAGTATGTTGATGCGAGGTGGGGAATCCCTGTTGTGCTTCCTCTTCGTGACTGTTTTGCCCAAGAGATCAACATGCTTTGCCGTCTTGATGGGTTTGTAGTTACATGGCTATGCCTTTTACATTCTAACTTTTCTTCTTCTTTTTTTTTTTTTTGGAAAAAGAAAAAGGTTTCTTCTAATTTCATTTTTCTCAAGCTTTTCTAAAATTCCACATTATTTTAGGGGTATTGTGTCCATGTGAGCGTATTTTTCCAAAAAAAATTATATATCCCTTTCTTAACTGATGTCCTTGGTCCTTGGCAGAGCAGTCTAAAGACCTCGGTGCTGTCTGCTAATCCTCACTCTGGCATCAACAGCTTGGTCTCATCCTTTGTGCAACTTTTGCAGGTATGAGTTAGTATTTTCTCCCCTTTCCTTAATGGACAGACGAGTGCATAGGTAGTTTGAGTATAATTCTTTTGGGAACAACTTATTGTAACGCTGAATTTGAAGTTATATTAGGAACACACTTCTCTGCGTCAGGGTTGAAAAAGATTATTTGTTAGCTATGGTTATTCTGCTCAGTGCTTGCCTTTTTTAGTTTAAACTCTGGTTGGAAAGTGCTTTTTATGAGATTTTTAGTCATTCATCATTAGGGTTTGCCATTTTGGGTGGAATAACATGCTTATGCTTGCAACTATACCTGCCTTTTCAGTTGAATTCAAGGTTGCGTTTATTTCCTTTAAACTTAAAGCAAGTCATTAATAGAAAATATGTTTGCAGGAAGAAAACCCATCACGAGAGAGCACTATTGTAAGAACAGCTGGAAAACTCATTCCATTCCATTTCAACAGGATTCCTGAGATTGTCGATGGTAAGGTTCCTTTGGCAACTCAGAGACGCCAGAAGAGATACAATCTCAAGGCCAACGAATCTGTTTCCTCAGAATCATTCTGTTATCTCTGCAATAGCCCTCTTGACAAGTCTGAGACTGTTGAGCTAAGCAATCTTGAGAACTGCGGCAGTAGTGATATTTTTGGCGCTTCCTGCTGTTCTAGTTGTCGCTTTCAGATACTTCCAAGAGATACCATGTCATTGGAGCAATTTTATACACTTTTACCTCAATTAATGCTTGCACGATCAAAGCAAGTAAACAACAAGAATTTGAGTTTCCTGAGGTGAGTATTTAGTTTGGTGATACTGAAAACACAATAGGTTAAATTTGAGTTCGGTGATATTTCAGACGAAGGATTTTCTGCACATCTCTAGAATAAGTAGGGTGCGAATAAGAATCTGCATTCACATTACCCTATATTCACCGGTATTTGAAATGGAAAGAATGGAAGGAGAGCAGAAGAAATATTGAATACTGAGAATTCTCATATAATCTGTGGTTCCGTCTTCCATCGCCTGGCTGATATATCTCAAATAGAGTGGATCATTTTGATTATCATGACTGATTCTAATCTTTGAGGAAGTACAGTTTCCAAATTAAATATAAAATGTTAAAATCTTGCGTATCATTTGGAAATTTGCATTCTTTTGTTGTGGTACTGCGTTCCAGGTTCTGCCTCCTTCTCTGAGAAGGGGTTCTGTCAATCGAAACTCGCGTCAGTTATGCTGCAAAACATCCCGCGTCCTAATAACCCATAGTGAGCTATCATCTTCACAAATAATTAACAGGTCGACTCGTTCTTTATTTCATGGGGCCCGATATAATTTGCATAATTTCTGCTGTGGTTCTCTGCTGTTGGATCACAACTCACAAAGTATATCCTCTTGGTTGTGATCTACTTTTGTAAACTTCAAAGCTTCTGCTGTCGGATCATGACACGGTAATACTCTTGTTTTCAGGGAACAAATACAAGATTGCTTGCTCTCAGACAGCGAAGATGAAACTTAGGTTCAGATTGATCGCTTTCAGACAGTGAAGATGAGGCATTCGAGGTTACTCGGTCATTCCAAGGAAGGGGAGCAGAATTGATTACTGAGATTCCCTGGCCTCCGTCAGAGTACCATAATGATTTTTGCTGATTCTTTATGCTTATTATTTATCAATATCTTAATATGTACCGATTTATATGACCATGCATACTGTTATGTCAGGTCTTTTAAAATATTGATTGTTTTTGCCCCGAGCAGAAAGAAAAAAGGTAATGATTATGTAGTTGCTTCTGGCTTCGAAATGAGAAGCCTTCTCTGAATGTACTTCGTTGGCCACCTCAAAATAAATGCTTTAACAGTTAAAACAGATTATTGCAATCAAGCCGAGACACATTGTAATGCTCCTGTAGAATTTATGCACAAGATTTCAATTCGGTCCGCCTGAACCGAATCAAGAGAGAGGGAAAGTACCTCAATAGCATCACGGAAGATTTTTCCAGTAGGCCAAAAAAAAAAAAAGTTCGAAAACTAGATTGGCTAAGGAATGAAAAACTCTTCTTTTGTTACATGAATCCTATTTTCATTTCATCATTACTTGCGGGGTCGCAGGGAATAATTGTAAACATTTTATTTACAACCTTGAGTTTAAAATATACACAATCATGCTAGATAAGCTTTCCTCGGTACATTTCTCCCCCACAATCTCAAGCGCACACAATTGTACTTAAAAACATTTCATGTGAAATAATGTTCACCAAAATTTAGAAAGAAACTCCGGCATCTTAACATTTAAAGCCAAGTATTGGTATGTATATGTCCAGAAATCAAAAGGTAGTTACTGTGAGGCGGTCTGAGAGAATAATTCCTCCAGCCGATTTTCCTTTACCACCACACCGTATTTCTGAGTAAAAACTGCACCTTTGATAGAATCAATGCTAGCATCATTGGCATCGGTAGCAGATATGGTGAAGTATTCATTCAGGTTGTGTGTTGTTCCATCTGCGTGGTTAAAGTTCCTTAATGAGCAAAACAAATGGGATTCGACTTATCCAGAAAAATAAATTTATTGATGCCAAATACATAAATTAGACTATACCATCTTAAAATTGGCATCCTTTCATTCCATCCCATACATAGCAGGGTATGACCCAAAGTATCAATCATCATGTTCAAAAAACGAGGAGCATAATATAGAAAAGATTTTAGGAGAACCTTGTTCTCCATGGATTGAAGTTTACCAAATTATAGTCATGATCCAACGCGGTTGATTTTGCTTCTAGCTACAATAGTCAATTTTTTAACACTTGTGCCATTACCTTCAGCGACAATGGGCTCATGCAAAGGAGGTTCTGCAATCCATTTTCCATCAGGGTCTTTCATGTGCCTTCTATCAGATGCAAAACAACGAAGAAATACTGGAGCATGCACAACTCGGAATAACCTGATAATCAGAGAAGCCTTTTCATGTACTCCCATATTTAGTATTTAGACATGCTAGTATTGCATAAACAAAGGTGACAAAACCTATCAATTGAAAATTAAGCTTGTCTTCAAACAAAAAATGAGATATGATTGTTAACAATGAGATATCATTGTTTACCAAAAGAATATATGTAAAAAAGAAAGTCAACTGTTTGTTATTTTCCCAAGTCAAGCAACATCAACATGTAACCGATCAGGATATTACAGGTTAACGTGGTAATCGTTTCCCATAAACAAAAAGAGAGCTGAAAATATGACTTCTAATTGCCACATGAACAAGAAGCTACATTTTAACACACCATACTATGCCGATAAAGCAGAACATAATCACAGAAAAATTGATGGTGCATTACCTATGATAATCGGGAAATAGCTGAAAAGATGGACGAATCGTTTCCAACACATATGAAGCTAGAGGTGAAGGGAACAGAAGACTTGAATCCAAGTCCCACACTAGAGGTGAGTCACCTCCCCTACTTCTCTGTAACATCAATCATAAAGAAGCATGATAAAAAAAAAAAAAAAAAAAACCCTTTTGATCACCAAATCTAGATATATAACTTAGTAAACAGGCTTTGTCAACTCGTTCACAGTCAAAAAGTATTGAGCCAAACCTGAATACAAATGACATGATAATCCCAGAGAACAATCCCATCTGCTCTTTTGCTAGCTTTTTGATGCCACAGCGCGATCTAGAGAGTTAAAAACAAATGCTAGTGAAAAGCAAATTCCATTTTTTGAACAAATAAAAAGCAACCCTTACAAGTCAAGTACACTGAGCAATGGATAAAAAAGGCAGTGCAGAATAGTTACAAATGTTCTCAGTACTCTGCCTCCATGTCATCACAACAGCAACAGCAAATATGAAAAAGATAAGAAATAGATACATTATAAATAGCAATTATTGACAGTTCCTAATTCACCGGCAAGAACAGTGGCACTCTCACTGTCATTCACACCTTGGGCGTGTGCGAGTGTAAATATGTTCTAAATCATCATCATCATCATCAATAGATTATTAATGATGTCAACAAATAAAGTTGGCATATTTCAGAAGAACTGAACTCTAGCCCAAAAAATTGTGTCATTCAAATAAGGTCAACAAACAAATAAAGCATGCCTGTCTCTTTTCATTGGAAATGAAAACAACAAAAAGATCAGATCCGTCAGCATCTGCTATTCCATCAGCGCATAACTTCTTGCAAAGCAGGTATACATTCTCCTCACTACAAATAAAACAGGGAAGGAAAATCATATGTTGATACAGCAGCTGAAACAGAGATAAAAACCTTAAAACAACTACCAAGGACCAACAAGCATCGTACATTACTGAATCTATATATTTATATATAATATAAAATCTATAGAAAGCTCCATAAGCTATTGACAATCCTCCCCTCAAGTTACATGCCAAATGCAGTATAGTCTATATTACAAAATTGAAAAGAAAATGAAAATGCTAACTGCAGTTGCTTAACAATAGCAGATACGGAGTGAACTACCACTTCTCAAAACGTTGAGATAGTAATAAAACGCAAAAGTCGGATCCGAATCATTGTTTAACACCAAAGACAAAACCCAAAGAAGAATAAATTTGTAAAATGAATTTGGTTTCTGCACATATTGATATGAAAAACTTAGTTACCATCAACATTTATAACGTTACCTTTCAAGTAGTCAGTAATTGCCACCAAAAAGAACTTTGCATGATCACAATCCCGGGCAGAAAACCCTAAAATAATCACATACTGAAGAGAGAGATTTACCAATAATAAGGAGTGTGATGGAAGTGAGACACATCCAGATTGCTCTGTTCCAGTGCAGAGGTCGTCATTCCTTGTTCAGTAGCCACCCTGCTTCAACAACAACTAGCTCGCCCAGGGACAGTGCTCCGGCACCTGCAATCTTGCATAGTGTTACTCTTGTCCCTCTGTCTCGTAGATCTCCGGCTTGGATTTTTTTCATCTACGTGGGCTTCGTTATGTATTGGGCCAACGAGCCCCGGAAGAAAAACCCCAAACCCGCTCACGTGGCTTCACATTGTTCAAAACGCAGCGTTTAACGATTTGCCTCCACCCAGCGCGCATCTCAATTCGTTCCCCATTTGGGTCTGCCCAACGAACCTTGTTGACCCTTGTGGAGGCGTGAGGATTGAAGAACGGCAAGGATCACGCACAGTTCTCACGCTGCAGAAGTGAATTAGGGCACGGAAGGAGAATATTTAGCTACCTTTGTGATAAGTTCTGGTTGTATTTCTGTGTTATTTTTACATTCTCGGTAGGTTTCTTTCTTTAGCAACTCTGCTGAATTTTTTTTTTTCCGGTTGGTTTGGTGTAGTGTTTGATTTTCTCTGTTCTATTCTGAATTGAGCTAAATTTCGCTGGGCTTGCATTTATTAACTGTAAGTTTGAATTTGGTAGCGAGTAATCCAAAGATCTTGCGGCCAGCATTAAGTCACTATGTTGAAGGGCAAACGTTATTGAATCTCCCGCTAGTGATAATTCAATGTATGAAAGGTAGGGTTATGAATCGAATTCTAAACTAGGCAAAAGTTACACTGTTCAAGTTACTTGCTTAGACTACATGATTATCGATCATTTGAACTTTAAAATAGTTGTTTGTCTTACAGGAAATGGCTAATCACACTGATTCACTTATTCCATTAGACATTAATGCCAATGAATGTGCGGTTGATGTGGCATATCATTCACCAAAGGAACGTGGCCCTGAAATCCGTAATTCAGATGAAAATGATGTTGTTCCTACACCACATAACGGTATGATATTTGGTTCGGAGGATGAGGTGAGATCATACTATGCAAAATATGCCAGCCAAGTAGGTTTTGGCGTCATGACAAGAACCTCAAGGAAGGTAGCTGATGGCAAGATTGGGTATTTTATACTTGCATGTTCTAGAGAAGGATTTAGAAGAAACAGTAGAAGAAATCCCATCAGAAGTGTTCCATCAAGGAAACAGAAGTGTGAAGCCAGGATCAACGTTTCTTTATGTAAAGATGGATTCTACAGGATTCAAACAGTTACGCTTAATCACAATCATGAACTGAGTCCAGGTCAGGATATTGACATGCGAGCTAAGAGGAAACTAGACCCAGAAGATCAAACTGAGGAGCAGATGAACAAGAGTTTCCGGTCTTTAGTGGTTGGAAATGGGGTTTATGATAATGTGACATTGTGTCCAAATGATTGTGGAAGCTATATTCGGACAGGAGGCCGGTTGATTGGTGCAAATGGAGATGGTAATGCTCTTTATAAATATTTCATGCGCATGCAAGAACAAGATTGCAATTTCTTCTATGTGATTGATTTGGATGAATATTTATGTGTGAGGAATGTTTTCTGGGCTGATGCTAGGAGTAGAGCTGCATACAAGTCATTTGGTGATGTGGTAACATTGGATACAACATATGTCTCTGACCAATACAAATTACCCCTCGTGTCTTTCGTTGGAGTGAACCATCATGGGCAATCTATACTTTTTGGTTGTGGGTTGATGTCATGCAGGGACATGAAGTCGTTTGTTTGGTTGTTCCAATCATGGTTACATTGCATGCATGGTGTGTCACCAAAAGGCATCATAACAGATGAATGCAAGGCCTTGCAAAATGCACTTAAAATTGTATTCCCCTTTGCTCGACATCGTTGGTGTTTATGGCATATAATGAAAAGATTTCCTGAAAAGTTAAGTCAGCGTGCTGACTACAAGTTGATAAGTTGTCGTTTAAAAACTGCTATATATGACACACTTACTCCCAATGAATTTGAGATGAATTGGAAAACAACCATGAAGGAATTTGGTCTACAGGACAATGAATGGTTGGATGAGTTGTACCTTGAGCGACATCGATGGGTGCCTACCTTTGTAAAGAGTGAATTTTGGGCTGGAATGTCTACCATTCGATATGGTGAAATTATGCATCCTTTTTTTGATGGCTTTGTTGGGTGCCAAACTACATTGAAACAATTTCTTGATGCATATGATAATGCATTGCAAGCCAGGGCAGAGAAAGAGTTTGAAGCTGATTTCCGCTCATTTTGCATTAGTCTTTCTTGTGCTACTAAGTCTCCATTTGAGCGGCAGTTTCAAACTGCTTACACTCATGCAAAGTTTTTGGAGGTTCAGCAAGAGTTTGTTGGAAAGGCTGATTGTAACATGGTGGTTGTTCATGATGAAGGTTCTGTTTGTCGTTATAATGTTATTGAAGATGTGATGGTAGAAGGTAAACCTAAAGAAGCTTCATTTGGAGTTATATTTGACAGGATAAACTATGATGTGAAGTGCGCTTGCCACATGTTTGAGTTCAGAGGAATAATATGTAGGCACTCGCTTGCTGTACTGTCCCAAGAGCGAGTTAAAGAGATTCCATGTAAGTATGTTTTGGATAGATGGAGAACAGATCTAAAGAGGAGACACGCATACGTTAGGACCAGTTACACTGTTAAACAACTCAAACCTCGAATTGAAAGATTTGATCTGTTGTGCAAGCAATTTGACTCTGTCGCTGAAGTTGCTGCTGAATTTGAGGAAACAAGTGCGTTTGTAAGTAATACCCTTTGTGACTTGAAGGAGAAACTGGAAGCATGGGCAAGCCATATGAGAAACTCATCTGAGGCGGCAGCACCAATAAGCTGTGCTATTAACGGTGCTTCTTGAAATACAAGTAAGAACACGCTCATTTCATCAATTGTATTCGACTAGGAATATTTCTTTTGCAAGCATAGTATCAAAGACAAATGTAAATGCAAGAAAAATTGAGCTTCAGCAAATATAAAATTTGCGTTGTTTGCAGCCTCCAAAGAAGTTCACTATATGATGTAATTAGAGACACCAACGAGCTTCCTTTTTGGAGGTCCGACGGGAAAATTTTTCATACCATGCAACATTCGAGGGTAAATATAATGACATTAGAAGCTGCAGGTATTAATATATTCCTCCGGTCTTTAATGTAGGACTCATTTTATAATATAAAGTATATTACAAAATGGGTTTTACTTTTAAGTACTTTTAAGAGCAGAGGAGTATAATTTATTGTTCTGGCCAAATACATTTGTAGATATATAGAACTTATTAAATTCCTTTTTATTTAGCGATATAACTAAAAAAAAAAATTTTTAAAAAAAGATGGCCGCAGTGTTAATGATGGCGGAGAAAAAGTCATCGAGATACAAGCCATCTAATGAATCCATAAAACCAATTGTAAAGCATAGTTTAGTATTTGCTGTCCAATGTATCCATGTATAGATTGACCAGGAATCGGTGGTGTGTTCCGGTGGAGCCGAAAAGGTAGTACATTATTATGGAGTGACTTGACCTGAACTAAACTATGATTGATAGTTTGGTTGCGCCAGCTTTTTTGGTTTTCTATGTATTGGTTTGGATATATTTATCACTTATCAGGTTTTTGATATGGGAGTTTGGGCATGTGTGTGCAGTTTAGCACATTTGCTGAAATTATTTCCCTTAGAAAACCTGCAGTGGCGTAATCTAACATCAGCCTGGCCTAATCAAGAGAGAATTTTTTTGAAGTGCTTGGCATCACTATTTGAATCTAAATTATTATTAGGAGTTTTAGCTGATAACAAACCAAATGAGAAGATTTTTTATTTGGCCAGCACATAATACTTTGTTCATATTAAGGGATTTATACTACTGTCAGTCCTTGTACTCGTCTTATAATCTTCAGTGTTAATTTACCTGTTTTCCTTTGCTTCTCTTTGGTGTTAACTTGGTTGAAATTTATACTACCAAACAAGTTGTTATATCGACTCATGTCTTGTTTGATGACATAAAAAGCACGTCTTGGTGGTGGGATTATTATCATAAAAGGCACATCTTGGTGGTGGGTTCGTTATCATGAAATCGTTGGTCACTCTTCTAGTTAACACTTGACAAACCACAGTATTTAAATAATGACTATTTTTCAAAATCCGTATACTAACGTAGACTTGTATCAGTTTATATGAAAATCTTAACTTTTCAAAAAATAAAAAAATAAAAATCACGTAAAATCTTGCAGACAAAATCAGGTATTATTCTTCCGGTCCTAAATGTAAAACCTTTTTACACATTAGTATAAGGATTTTATATTTAAAACCGAAAGAGTATTACATAACTTTTGGATGAAGTAATGGTGTAAATCAAAATTAACAACAGAAGACATTTAGAATAGATTTTATTGATCACTTGCACTTATTATTATAACGCCAATAAAAAAATCTTAAATAAACACTTATCTTAAATAATACGTTTAAGTTTCAAGAATTTAAACAGAAAGTACGTACGTAGCTTCTTCTATTTTTTTAAAAAAAGGAGGAAATTATTGAGCGAACAGCAAATCACACCCTCGCAAGTTATCTTGACAGGAAAGCACGCCAACTTAGTTGTCATGACACAAAAATGGTGTCCTGCTATCACTTGTACAGGGTTGATTTGTTTCGTCTATTTGAAATTTTTTTATATATAATTGCGACATTACAAGATAATGATATAAAAATGGATATCCATAATATGGAAATAATTAGTTTTCACTGCTTGTTGATAAACCAATTTTATAAGTCAACTGAGTCAAATTTGTTGCCTAATTTTCTAAATTAGTCATCTGCTGATGAAACATCCCCTAATTTTAGAGTTTGAAGAGGTTCGTTGTGAAGTTTTAAACATCAAAAGATTTATCCGTGCATAATACTCTACAATGCTTACGGAATTGTGTATAGAATTATATTATACATGTACTTGAAATGGATTTAATCATATCAACGGATAGTTGGCCGGAGGAAAAAAATCATACCAATGGAGAGGATTAAAAAAACAATAAAGAAATTAAAATACGCCAACGTCACGAAAAATCCACGCAACTTTAATATTTCTACGGGGTTAATGTGAATTTTACACTATTAAATATAAAACACAATTGATGGATCCAATCGGAAAACAGAAAATATGAAAAGAAAAATAAGAATCTTTAGAAATGGCGGTGGTGGCGGTCGCGCCAACTGGAAAAAAAATATATCGTTGTTCGTTATAAAGTCCTGGGTCTCTCCCTTGTCCATTTCCCCAACCAAAAAGCCACCGCCCTAGCCGTCCAATACAAGCTTCACCCCTCCCAGACACACACTTGGACTGCGTTTGGGATACCAGATAAAACTAAATTTTATGACTAGGCAATTTTTTCTTTACGTTTTAGAATAAAAATAAAAACAAACAATTACCTTTTTTTATATTGATGATACTATAATATAATGAAAAGAGACGAGTTAAAAGCAAATGAAAGGAGCACCAAATGTCTCGGTTCCATGTAGAGCTACAGGGGAAGTGAGCGAAACTCTTCAAGGCTCTCAAAAATCAAACCGAGAGAAAATAAGGCCTTTGAAGAAACAATAAAGAAATTAAAATACTCCAACAATACTTGAATTGTTATGTTTTGGTCAAATAGTAATATTTGGATTAATTAGTTGATCCTGCACGTATACATTAACGTCTGAAGTGGGTCATTTTGATATTGAATCAGATACATAAATAATACACGATATTTTTGTATAATTTGAGGTTTGAACAAAGGTGATAGCGACTCATCCATTTTATTATGGTTTAATTTGTCACTCTATCAATTGTAGATATGGCCATATGAGCTGGCTTTAATTTGCTAATACTCTTCTTATCACTTCAAAATATTTATTCTTAATTATAGCCATGATATCTGGTCCACCCAGTGAATATTCCTTTATATGCCAATCCATAAATACATGTCCTAGAAGCTTTCCTCGTTTCTTTTTTTTTTTTTAGCCATTTTCGCATATTTACCCTTTCGTCCCCAGCAGGGTGGCCCGCCATGGCCGTGATGCCTCTCATCCTTGTATTTATGAGGGACCCGCTTAAAATCTCTCTCCCTTTCCCCACCTCTGTTTCTATTATTATATATATATGATTTAATAATAAAGATGTTAATAATTAATTTACAGACTAGAGTTGGCATTCATGATGTTGATCTTGGCACGATATAAGAGATATTGCAGACCAGAGCCTGCCGGATTCATATACTAAAAAGTGAAGTGCAGGTTCCTTTATTATTTTTAGAACCTGCTCGCATTGATTTCTGAATTAGCTAATTATTTATGCAACATGGTGCTGGTGCTCGTAGTGTTTAAAGTTTTAGACATTGGGAATGTAAAATAATAATCCAGATTAATGAAACTAGTGGTACTATTTTTGGCGTGCAAGTAAGGAAATTAAAAAACATGAGAAATAAGGAACCTCTTACCTGCAATCTCTCTCTAAGCAAAGGGAATTCTCTCTCTTTAAGCTCAAGTGACTTCTTATAAAGTCTCCTTTAAGTACCCTGTGCCTCTAATGCGCTCCAAAATCAGTGATTTCCATTGGCTTACATTTTTAAAAGAGCACTGAACAAGAACTAATTTGATCATATGTGTTAATGGGATAATATGAAAGAAAAATTTTGTTGAGAGAAAGAGACATCTTTTTCTCCAAAGAGTGTAAAATGTGTGTGTTTTTAAATACAACGGCTATGGAATCATGACCATGTTTTTCTTTTGGGAGGGAGGGGGATAGTTAAATATAACCCCAGAAATAACAAATTCACGGAATACATATAAACTATCTCTGGTTTTTAAAATAAAAATTAATTAACTAATTTAAACATATTAAGAAAATTAATTAAATTAGTTATTTATAATAATTAGGTATTGTCTTTCTAAAATATCTTTACTAATCAAGTGTATTGGTTCAAACCACTATTATTACAAGAATTAATTTGAAAAAAATGGATAAATATGAGAGACAAAGTAATTGAATTTTATATTTAGGATCAAAATAAAAGTCAAATGAGTTCTTATATTAAGAACCAGATGTAGTATTTGCCAACAAATTCAATGAACATATAGCATTTACAAGTTGATATCTCCTTCACCTAGGCATTTGGCAAGCTAGCCAGTATAAGTATCAATTCCTTCAAACACATGATTATATCTGATCATTTAGTTCCTCATAGTTAGCAGTCTCTAGTAAGAAAGTGATTCGCGTGTTGATGTGGTCCTTAACAATTACAGTCATAATACAAAATGTTTTTAAAGCAATGCACTGGTACAATTTTTTTTTTTCATGATGAAATTAAACAGCGAGTACATATTATTATTTTTGTTTTGAAGTTTATAATTTAAAATTATTTTCATTGTTTATCTTAGTCCCTCCAAAATGATTCTCTGCTGCAAATGAATACTCTATATATTATTTTCATGTGCCATTAGGAATATTCCTGGATGGGATTTAGGTGAGAAAGGAGAGTTTATGAAACACCGGTTCTGTTCTGGGCAGGCCGGTCCATTATGGCATGTAGATTTGTTCACAAATTGTTCCATTTTAGATGATTATAGTAACTCAGTTTAAGTTTTGCAAACCAATGGATCGTTGCAGATGTCATGTTTTGGATGGCTAGTTGAGTATTGAGGAGGAAGATTTGAATTCGAGGCAGTTCAGGAAAAATGAGTCAAACAAGGATTGAAGTGCTTTTACAATGAACTTTAGTTTTTGATGTGCTCCTTTTAACTCAAAAAGAGCTCCTACGTTCTTTGCATCCTTGACTCCTTTTTCATTTCTGCGGACATATCTTTTCCCAACTTCATGGTAGACCCCCACCTTCCCTTTTATAGTTTTATCTCCCTCTTAATTGCACTGTTCTTTGTCGGAAGTCTGCCTTAAATCCATGTCACCAACAGAATTAAATTCCGCAATTGGAGACAGTCAAAATGTTCGTTGAAATTGCAGGTGTTGGATCCAAAGCACTCCGGGCACCTAAGCTTTAAAATTTGCAGTTGGTATTATATTGAGGCATATAAGATTTACTATCCCTTCTGGGGTGGTGGCTTTGTTCCCTGCAATTATGAAACATTACTGATGCGTTCTACTTCACCTGCTTTGGTTGATAACCCCACTTACTCGTTCTGTGCAAAATTAAACACAGCAGAGGACGAATCCAAGAGGGTTGTATCCTTTTTGTTGGGTGTTTGATTATTGTGAAGGACTCGATTTTCAATTCCCAAATTGGTGTAAAGTCATCAAAATGTGAAAAACAAAGGAATGAAACAGAGGAAGAAAGAGGATGGGCAAATTAAGGCGGTGGGAGTTACGTTGGTTGTGGATTGGACCACCTTGTGTGTTTCGGCACTGAGATGTCTTAATCTGTAAATAAGACGGCCTAATTTCAAGTTGCCTTCCCTTGCCACTTTACAGTTTACTCATTCCAAACACTCTGACTCGCTTTCTTGGCCAATGAACTAGCGAATTTCCCTCAGTAAATTTTACTTCGGTTTTGATTAAATTTACGCCCAGTCCTTTTTTTTCCCCTTAACACGTTAACCATACATTCTGTTTGGAGGAATAAAATAATAGCTTTCGCAAGACTTTAAGTAATTGGTTTTATTATACTCCTCCGGTCCTTAATATAGACCCATTCTTGAGTTGGTTTTGGTCCTAAATATAGATCCATTTCTATTTATCAATTTTCTCTAAATTACCCCTATGAATACTCCATCAACTATAATCAAGTAGAAGAAGGACATGAGGTATAAGAAAGATTATTATAGTGTTTTAGGAAAAATGTGTCACTTTTTTATAATTAACTAACTTACCTAACTTCCTTAATCTAATCAAATTAGTTAATG